TATAAGGACATTGGAATATGATTGGAATATCCTTGAAATCCCATGAACTATTCTATATTGGAATAATATTGGAATAAGATTGGAATATGAGTGAATAATCCTATTATTGGAATATCCTTTGAATATGATTGGAATATGACAGGAATATTAGTGAAAATGCTGGTTGTAGCCTATCAAAAGTGGGATCTAACCATCAACGCTAGGGATTATTTGTGAGGGAGAATGGAGACTTGTCACCTGTAGATAAATGAAATAGTATACATATGGTGGTTTCTGAGGTCATGAGGGATCCCCAAGTCACCATGGTTGTTTCCATACCAAGCCATGGTCATCCATGACTTGGATGATTTGGGCTACCCCCCATGACTCAGGAATAATCAATGAAGGAGTTTCCCTTGTCAGGTTAAATTGCTGGAAGGTAACAACGATAGGGGTTCAAGTAGAGGAAGCAAAGATAAGGAAATTCACCAGCAAACCAATTTTCAGGAATTGCAAAACAACAAATATGTATTTCAATCCACCAGCCAAAGTTGTGAAGCAGCGCCATGAGGGAGAAAACTTCAGCGTCGGACCAAAATCCCCCTACGGTGTTTTGTCCAAAATTCGGAGACACCCCCAATGAACAATACATGGAAAAGCTCTCGATATTTGTCACAGGCAAGTGTATTGTTTACTTTGTCAAGTGTTTTTTATGAGCGTTCCAAAAATACAGATGCAAACTAGAATGATCATTGTGCGATTCTCGTACTATAGTTGGTAATTTGTGTACCGCTATACTTTTGTACTATATTCAGGTTATAACCAATACATCTTTGTACTATTCTTATCTACTGGTTTGGATGAGATAAGCCCACGCAATCCAAGCAGCAATGACCATGATCTGCAAACCCCCACAGGTCGCATAGACCTGGGGATTGGTACAGGACTTTGCCAAGATATGCCTTGCCCTCCGTTATCGTTAAACGTGGAATCCGCTAAGGAATCCGCTAAGGAATCCGCTAAGGAATCCGCTATAAATGAAGGTTTCTAGCTGGGAAAATCAACTATAAACAAAACAAGGGTATGGTACTGTCACGGTATGGGTTGAAGTCTTTGTTCGATCCGTCAGGACCCAGACGTTTCTTTATTTGGAGACCGGCCCATGGCTCAACCAAGCTGCAAAAAACGTGTAATCAACCCCATTTGAGAAGGAAAAACGGCACCTGGACTAGGTTCACCAAGATGTACCTATCAAAAATGGTGGTTGTCCATGGAAAATGGTTGAATCCCCTGGGGGGCAATGGTTGTAATCCAAATTGTTCATAGCTTACCCAGTACCCCAACCGCTCACACCTGCGCCAAGCGTTTATTCAGGAGATCGCGCATCTCCGTCCCAATCCTGGGTTTTCCAACGGATCGGAGGTGGCCTCTTCTGGGGTTTTCACGAACAAAAACGAGGTTTCAACATGCTTTCACATCTGGTTGGTGGTTTCAACCCCTCTGAAAAATATTGGTCAACGGGAAGGATTATCCCATATATTATGGAAAAAAACATGTTCCAAACCACCAACCAGACATGTTGTTTCATCTGTTCTACACTGATTCTTAAGTCCCGTAACATTAATTCAACAGGTTTTAAGTTTTAAGTGACACACCTGTGGAGTCTCACCCCAACATTTCAACTCTGGCAACCAGCCACCAGGAAGCCATCAAGGGTCAGGCTTTGCTTCAAGAACCCCCCAAAACTTATTCCCTACAGATTCCCCAAGTAGTGGATTTCCCATTAAGGAAATAAGCCAAATGACTTTCAGCAAATCCAGGACAGCTCGGGGTTCAGCCATGGTGACCGACTGGAATAGCACCATCCAAATCCAGCTGGGAGATCACAACCAACATGCAGGACATGCCCCAGAAGTCCACACAAGTGGTTCCCCAACGCTGAGAAGACATAACATTGCAAAACAAATCGCCAATGCCAAAACAGGAACTGGCAGCTGTAGGGGAACAAAGTCTGCTCCGGCTGAAAGTAGCCCAGAGATGAATTGCATGAGGATGGATTTTGATCCATGTACAGAGCACACGCAGGGTCAACAGCATAATTTTGATACGCACCAAATCTGAGAGGGTAACAAAAAACACCAGACTCATTTCCATATGATTGGACTAAGCCTTCTTATTGCACTTGCAGCTAGATATCAGCCACATCAGTGCAAGTTATTCGATACACAATCTTTGGCAGGTGCAAAGCTTTGAGAATATTTAAGACACTTCCTTCACAAAAAAAACAAAAGACAAATTACTTTACTTCGTGTGATCCCCACCATGACATTTATACATTTTGTTACTGGCAAATCTTCTGGCATTCTATCTGACATATTTTCTGGCATTCGATCTGGCATTCTATCTGGCATATCTTCTGGCATTCTACCTGGCATATCTTCTGGCAGATGTTCTGGCATATCTTCTGGCATATCTTCTGGCATATGTTCTGGCATATCTTCTGGCATTCCATCTGGCATTCTATCTGGCATATCTTCTGGCATATTATCTGGCAAATCTTCTGGCATTCCATCTGGCATTATATCTAGCATATCTTCTGGCATATTATCTGGCAAATCTGCTGGCATTCTATCTGGCAAACATTCTGGCACTTTATCTGGCATATCTTCTGGCATTCTAGCTGACATTCTATCTGGCATTCTATCTGGCATACCTTCTGGCATTCTATCTGGCATATCTTCTAACATTCTATCTGGCATACCTTCTGGCACTCTATGTGGCATATCTTTTGGCGTGGATACTCGCGGTTGAGGTCCGGCAGGGAACACTGGGCGTGGATGGTCGTGGTTGAGGTCCGGCAGGGAACACTGGGCGTGGATGGTCGTGGTTGAGGTCCGGCAGGGAACACTGGGCGTGGATGGTCGTGGTTGAGGTCCGGCAGGAAACACTGGGCGTGGGTGGTCGTGGTTGAGGTCCGGCAGAGAACACTGTGGATCGCGGGTCGCAGTTGAGCAAGGACGACGAGGACGACGAGGACGACAAGGACGACAAGGATGACAAGGAGGACGAGGAGGAGGAGGAGAGGAGGACGAGGCAGGAGGAGGCGGAGGAGGAGGAGGAGCAGGAGGAGGAGGAGGCAACTGACATAAAATCTAACAACCCTCACCTGGCAGGTGGGGAATAACCTAAACCCAATTCTCCAATTTCAGTTTCCTCTATGGCACCCCTTAATTCCGGCCATAGGGGCCCCATGTCAGGGTCCGGCAGGCGCGGTTGCACCGAGACACTTCTCTCTCTGTTGCCAATACCTGGGTGGCATGCCATATGCACAGGGAACAAATGGAAGGAACACAGAAAATAAGGCCTACTTAGTCATGTAACCCCCGGTAACTATATATCAAGCACAAACCCTAGTTATTGCAGTTTGAAACCAACCCATACCTTTACTTGGTGGCTCAGCCCACTTAGTAAGAGGATTATTGTAATAGGTTATGTGATTATACAGCATACATCCCCGGTTATGAGTGGACTGAGTATGGCTAACCCAGTTGCAACTCGGGGTTCAAACCTGGCAGTGGGATGAACCACCAAGTATAGACTGGGCAAATTTGAAGTGCAAATCACCGTTTACAGGAAGACCCTTGAGTAAGTTAAGGACCGCTACGCTATACCCAGAATCAAAAGCATAACACAGCAAATAAGAGACCTGAACAAGATAGGGTTTTGCGTGCCCAAAATGCCCGCCCCTAGGGACAAACACCTCAAACACAACAAAATTCTCTGAAGCCAACGGCTGGATGAGTACTTAAACGTCCCATTGAAGCCTCCACACAATCTGAGCCCCTGCAGCGCTCGCATGTTGCCTCTTTGGCCACGGTCTCCAGTCATCGAGTCAGGTTCTGTTCCCTTTTTTCTCCTCCTTTTCATGGAAGTCTTTCGCTTTCCGCCTTGCTCGTGTTTGTGAAAGATCTTGCGACGACGATTCTCTCGTCTCTGCGCCTCCCTCATCAACAAAGACTGCCACCTTTTAAGCAACTTCCTCAGGGTGTTCAACTGGCGAGCCTCATGAACTGCCATCCTCACATGTTTTTTACCAACATGTTTTTTCCTCTGCTGTTCCTTGTCATGGGCTGCCATCCGGCGTCTCTCCCAAAGTTGCAAATGCCTGACTCGTACATGGTCAGCTTCTGCATGCCAGGCATGAATCCTTGTGAGGTAACTGGTGGCACTTGCACCGATGGCATGAAACATGTCAGCAACCGTTCCGACAAATTGCTGCCACAGTTCCTCCAATTCATATGGAGAGAAAAAATCGAAGACATTGTAATTTCCCCTGCAATGCTTTACGCGTTGACGAAAGGCTTTCATGCAGTAGCGAAGTTCCTTTACATCTTCCAAGCAGTAAACAACTGGGGCTTTCACCCGTCTCGTTCCTATGAAGATACCCATGTTTTGGGTCACGATGAATCGCAATTCCAGCTCCTCAAATGCCTTTCCTTACTCCAGAGCGCGGGACACAAGCGCTTCTTGGAAGCAGTCCTCCCACGCACCTTCGCAGCTGCTATCCGTTGCTTTCTGCCTTGCGGATGTGAGGATCACCAAGTATTCAAGAGCTGTAGGCAATTCACAGGATCTGCTGAAAATTTTCACACGATCAATTTCAACATTGGCCTGATACCGGGCGCGCCCTCTGCGCTGGACCCCTCTGATTCCGGAGTCCGACTGCGACCTTCTTGGCTTGCTCTTCTTCCCCAGCGGTGCAGCTTGCACCCTTTCTGGGCTTGGGATCTGTACCACCACGGCTGAGCTTGCCACACTAGAGTCTCCTTGTGGGGTCGCGCCAGTATCAACCATCCACTTCTGCAAAAGAACCCGCTGAGCCTGTGAAAAGTCTTTGCTGATCACTTGAAAACGCAGCTCGCGAGGCAATTGCTTGAGCAAACACTGAATTCTCATCATCAGTTTTACTTTCACATCGGCAAACATCTTTGATGCTTCAGCACCAGGCTCAGATTTTGACGTTTCAGATTTTGCAGCACCATCAGCAGCTCTGGCCTTTGGCTGTTCACTCGGTTTCTTCCTTTCTCCACCTGAAAAACTTGGCTCCCTGCACTGGGTTTGGGCTCCTTTGGCTCCAAGCTGCTGGTCATATTTCCTTCGCCCTTCTGGGTCCGATAGGGTCTCCAGGGCATCATAAACTTGGTGAAAGGCGTCTTTGCTGCCGCCCTTGTCGGGATGCACTTGCAAGGCACGCCGTCGGAAAGCAAGCTTGATCTCACTTAAGGTAGCATGCTGGGGTACCTGCAAGACATCATACAAAGAGCCGCATGTCATCAAGCTTGTGGTCACAATCAGTTTAGGTGGGGCTGGATTAGGCCCCCACTTGTGTCATGAATTGACATGTTTTTGCACCAATTTGCACTTGACAGTTAACTACCATCCAGGAGTTAATAGAAGCCTCCAAATTGAATTATACATCTCGAAGTGGTTGGTGGTTTCACCCCCTGGAAACATATGCTTGTCATTGGGGATCATCATCCCAAATATGGTTGAACATATACAATATGATACAATATGATTGCAAGGACCAACCAGCAAAGCATGAGGCTTGGAATAATGGGCTGAACTGCTTGTTGAATCTTGCAGCTTGATCCGTCTCTTGAATTCTGCAACCGTGCTGAAAGCTGCTTTTTTAGCAGCTGACCGACCCTGTTGATGACATCGCCTGTCGAACAGAGGCTGAAATCTCGCAACACTTTGGGCCGCTGGTGTCCTGAGTTTGTCTCATTTTTGTCATGATATCTCATTTTATACCCTCTGGTAATGACTAGCATAACTATAGAAAAAATCACCATGCTATTTTCATGGGTCAATCAACTATTTCTATGGTCATTTTCCAGTTCGCAAACCGTAAACGTTTACCAGGCCGGGTATACCAAACCGTGGATCATCCATCCATTTGGTCCATGGCAGGTAGCCAACGACAGAACCTCCCAAGGAACAAACGAACGGCTACAAAAATAGTTAAACATATTCCAACATACCAAGCAAGTTGACATCTAGTGACCTAAAATCTAAAACTATTCAATGATCCTTCATCAAAATCACTAGAAATTTTATCTACGAAAAACAGAACAGCGGGTGAATGGTTGGAGTACTGGCTAACAGCTAACTTTCATGAAGCAGGGACTGTTTGAGCAAGACTATCTTGAACTAAATTGCCACAAATTTAATTGCTCAGTGGTTTCAACCCATCTCAGCAACATTGGTCATTTGGGGAAAATTCATTCCCTTTTTTGGGAATGAACATGAACACTGTTTCATGATCACCAACTAGTCAACAAGTCCTCCATGAAAATTACCCCCTGGCAATCTAACATAGCTATGGAAAGTGACCTATTTAGGCTTAATAATTTGCCTATCAACATGGCGTGTTTACATAGCAAAGTGTTAGGTTACGGGAATCCACCAAACAACAAAAACTCAACCTTCGAGGGCTGCGCATTATAATCCCCATTGTACCTCCCCCGTACAGTTATCCCATTTTATGTCCATTCTTAAATATTTTTGCCCCAAGCCAAACAAGTCCATGAACATGGCTCGAATGGGTCCCAGTCCCAGTTGCTGAATCGCTTCATAATCGGCCGCTGCCTTTAGCAGAACATCGCCTCATACAGGTAGATTCGTTTGGGCAGATTTTGCTGCAAAACACATGGAAGTTTAGTTTTGCCAACACGGGCATTTAACCAACGTGGGAGTTGAGCCAACAATTCAAGCAAAACAGACTGGGAATTAGACAACCAACAGGGAACGTTAGCATTTAGCAAACACAAATGTTGAACCAACTTGGAGAGTTCACCAGTGCTGAGCCAATGATTTGAAGCAACAGAACTTGGGGAGTTCACAAGTAACAGGCTGCCGCACGGGCGTTGCGCACGAAGAGGGGTTCGTATTGTTGGTTTGCCAGGGCGAAGAGTTTTCCCAACTGGTCCTTTTCAATCCTGCGGCAACACATCCCGGCCCTTGGGACGGCTCATGTCAGGCCGTACAACGTGGGGTTTTTGATAATGGGCCCAGCCCAAGCACTGTTTTATCATGACCCTTTGGTAACATAGCTATGGAAACCATGGGCAATTTCATCATCATTACCCTTTGGTAATGACTAACAGTTTGCAAACTGGAACATGGCCCATAGAAATAGTTGATTGACCTACCCTCTGGTAATTTAATATAACTATGGAAAATCACCATTTATAGTGAATTTTCCCATGAAAACTGGTGATTTTCCAGTTCGTTATGTTAAATTACCAGCTACTAAAGATGGTGATTTTCCAGCCAAGGAGGACCGAAGGTTGGAAGCCCCGAAGCCGCACAGCAGGACACTGCACAGCATATTTACCATATTTGTCACGTACATATGGTATATGTAAGCTTAAGGTACTTAAATCCCAGTCATATCAGATTATACATTAAACTCCCATTTATCCCATGAAACAATCTTACGCTGAGATATAGCGGCACACCGCAACGATAAGATCTGTTCCCTCCTGTATTGAAAGGCCAGCTGCAGTGTGAGCGCCAATCCGTCCTCAGCAGCTTGGAAATCCCACAAAACGGGACGCCTTTTTACGGGTTCAGTTCGGGAAATGGGTGGAGATAATTATGATAATTACCATAGTAAGTTGGGATATTAACCTCTGCAACTAGGATTAAGTACGATTATGTCAAAAAAATCACTTGTATATAAATCATAACTTCTAACTGGAACTGCACACCCAGGTAGCTTTTTTTAAAGGTAAAGCTGGGTAATCCCTTCCGACCTTCACCTTTTGATCCAGTACATTTCACCATGGTTTCTGCACAGCATGTCCCACTGAGGCGAGACCTGACCATCCAACTTTTCATAGTGGGACTAATTCCAGTTCTGACCATGGCATACTGGCATAATTACTGTAAATTTGACAAACACCACCCTTCCAACTAACATAGACCCCAAGAATCGCATTTTTTTGGAGGGTAGTAGTCTTCGAACCTCTTATTTGGCAGGATCGATGCTACGAGTAGTTGGGGGGATGGCACCTTCTTTTATCATATGATTGCCAGATTCAAGGCCACAACTCACCAGCCGTAGATTTCACGCTTGTTAAGCCAACCAGGTAAGGCCAGCATCTTACCAACACTGGACAAAAGGCTGCACATGTTCACACAAACCTATGGACAAATCAGAAGCACCAAAACAGTCAAGAACAAAATGTGGGAAGACCATCATTGTTTCCGCATGTCTTGTGCCGATCGTTAAGCAATGAAACATGTGTGCTTATCGAATGACACCAGTGAATACTATGCCTGGCCAAAAACATTGTGGGCTGGCCCGAATTCGCTGATAACTGGAACTGCACCCCCAAGAACCTTGTTTGGCACAAGCAGCTTTAGTTCGCGTTTGCAACGGTCCCTGTGAATCCTTCATATTATCGAAGGACCTCAGGCTCGTTGATGGAGGTCAGCATTACCATGGTAGGATGAGTTCAAACGAGAGATTACTGTAACCCCGTGAGGGTTGAACGTTTTCAAAACCCAAAGAAATACAAAGAATGCCAAATTTGGAGGTTGTGATATCTGGCCGATCCTTTTCCCACTTCTGATGGGTCAAGAAGTGTCAAGTTGGTGCGAAAATAATACAATGACAATAATTGTGACATGCAACGAAGCTACCATGCCAGCTAGCATGCGGGTTACCATGCCAAAATCATGACTAATCTTGGAGAAACTGACCAAGTGCCAAACCGTAACCCTTACCCCCTGATAGACCCTTCCTACAGCCAGTGGTTTCGTATTGGATCTCTTAATTTTGGAGTCCCAGCCGTGGGCCGATACCATGAAACTCATGGTACCCAGATGATGCACCGTCCTATGCCCCAAACATGCCCAACACTATTTAAACATATTCAAACATAAAACATAGTCAAACATATTCAAACGATTCTACCCAAGTGGCAAAATAACATAATCTTGCCACAAATAAACGATTCATCTTGACATGAATATATTTGTACCTGTGTAAATGTATGCAAATAAATCTACTGTATATCATGCTATTTAATCATATTTAATCAGTCTTATTCCTTGGATTTGGATGTGTAAACATGGTTGTACGCACACATATGTATACACACACACGAATATATATATATATATACATATGCATATATAAGTATATATATATGTAATATACACACATATTTACACATTTGAAATCATTTGCCAAATAATTTCAGACATAATACGTATATATATATATGCATATACATGTGTAGTATGCGTAATATAATTTATATGTTTACAAATAATAATTACCATTATTACCAGGCTATCCTTGACATCAACCCACCTCTCTTGTGTGCGAAAAAGCGACACAGTCACCCGTGTGGACGGAAAGGCCAGAAAGCTCTTCCATGGGCCAATCAAATGCCTTCCTCCTGTCAGCCAAACATCAGAAAACCATAGAATACTACAAACAAGAAATTTTGCATTGTCTTGGTATCTCTTGGTACCCATGACGTTCCATACGTGAACCATTGCATCTGTTCTCAACAACTTCCAAAAACTGCTCGATGGGGCGCCAATGGGACCACATTGGGCCCACAAGCTTAGTCCTTTTGAGCACATTACCATGCCATTTTGGGGTCTAATACTGTAATTCAAAAAGATTCAAGCAGGTTCATCATCCATCATCATTGGCTCAAACAGCAAATTGTTGGATCGTGAAATTCCGTTGTTGCTTTTCATGGTTGGTACCCACACAACCCATTTCCAAACCTACTATGTGCATTTTCACCGTTGCCAACCTTACATACTCTGCATTTTATTCTTTTAGCGGGTTAGCATGCATGCATACATGCATACATACACACACACATATATACACAGAGAGAGAGAGATATATATGAACAAATATGTACATACTGATTTAGCTATCCACCCAATGCTTCCCCAGTCAGCACAACGATGGAATTGTCAAGTCCTTCGTAGACGGCATCCGAGTTCACCTGCTTGGTGATCAGGTTCACCGTTAAGCCGTACTGCAATGGTGTCAAGGTACCTGCAGAACCGTTTTTTGGCAACGCGGCAACGACCCGGCCAAGGTGGTAGACTGGTAGATTCAGAAGCCAAATTAACAATTGATTGACTGGTAAGGTATATATATATACATATCGTATATATATATATACTGTATATGTATATATATATATACACATACATATTTGAATCTGAGAGTCACAGATAGGTGCACTTGCTTGATCACTTTGATGGATTGACTTGAGTCATACAAATAGAATCAAATAGATGCAAACAAGATCAAGAATACGCATCAATTGAATTGATTAGAATTCGTATCACTGAAGCCATTGAAAACCAGCCAAATCTATCTTGTGGTTGGGAAATTATTGGTAATCTTAGTAGCTCCAACTAGCTTCCGATTTTTTGAAAATTATGGATACCGTAATCATTCCCAAAAGTTCCCTCCATTCACCACGAGATAGGCATGGCTCAAACTTGGTTACCTCTGCTCCCCGAGGTCTTTGCATGGCTTCACCCATGTCATAAATGTGGGTGAAACACGGTGAAACAATGTCATAAACCATCCCCAATTTCACAATGTTTATAGCTTGTATAAACCATTCCCAGACCTGGCTGGTTTATGGCATTGTTTTAACCACATTACTGGTTAATAATGGTATGAATGGATGGTAAACCATCATTATGACTGCGCGCAATCCTTTATTCACCACCATTATTCATCACCATCATTCACCATCAAAAGCCACCCACAATTCGCAGCACCTACCGACAGCAGCAGAAAGAAGAAGCAGCAGCAGCTGCCGCCCAGCGCAGCCAAGCGCTTCTGCTGTCCGCGCCGGCCTGCCCGATATTGCCCGATGGCATCGCGACATATCGCGACAACAGCAGCTGGGATCGGAGAACCTAAACGGTTGTATAACGGTTTCTACCATGGGATACCGGGAGAACTAAATCTAATAAGATAACCAACAGTAACTAACATATGTACGACTGCATTATATGGATAACATTGGATAAAAATAACTTACATGTAATGCCATCGAATCACATTGAAGATTTGGCAGTGAATGATACTAAACGAACAAAACAAAGTCAAGAACTGAATGATATAAACATCGAATGAAGACATGAATTGTGAATTATTGGTGCCGTGTTATATGCATATTATTCAAAGTTCATATGCATATTATTCAAAGTTCAATCCATGATATAGTTGTATGTGACACGCAAATACCTTATCCAGCCGCTCGCCAGGTATTTTTCGCGCTTATTTTTCCGGCATTTCTGCCAGAGTCGGCCGTTGTTTGGCTCTCTCAGCCTGGGAAAAAATCGCTTTGAAACATGCAATTTGCATCTCTTGACTAGAAAAATAGGAGACTTGGCCGTGGCCAGTGTAGCAAGGCACATCCTGCCGGCCATGGCAGGGGATGCCCGCTCTGTTCTAAGAAGTCCCGCAGGTGCCCATTGCAACACACCACGATCCACAGGTGAAGTAGGCTCATCAATTGAACGGACACTCTGCGCAGCTATACTTCAAATAGAATCTCAAAGTCGGTGGCATGACCATCATAATTTTAAGATCTCTTCACTACATTTTTCATTTCCATTTGCCACCGTATTTTATAATATTTCAACTGGTTGCCGTCCCAGTTCCCACACAGTTGCGCTGTGGCTCTGTCGCGCATCTATCTCGCGGCTTGGTTCTCAGGATGCAGTGGACCGCCCACGGCATAGGCACCCGATGGCACATCGGGGTGGGGCCTCGGCTTTCCCACAACAAAAATCCCATCATTCACCAGTTAAAACCATTTGAAACAAGTAGAATCTCCATTTATAGATTCTGGATAAATGGCAATAATTCACTAGTCTGATTTAAGGCCATTTGGGGATGATTTCCCGTTGTGAACCGTAATTCAAGTGACGTCGCGGTGAGGTCGTTACAATTTAACAATGTTAAGCGTATTAATCTAACAGGTGCTATTCCATCAATCTAAATCGGGTATTCAATATGGAATGACCCACGACCAAGTAGCTAAGTTGGTTGAAATTACCTGGTTAAGCGTATAGACGTGTAGAGTTAGATGGGTGAACAGAAGCTGACAGCAATGACGTCATAACCACAAATGGCGCGCCACTTTGTAACTAGCTATTTGCTCACGTTTTTCGAGGTCCACAGCATAAGATGTAGCCATGTGATTTTTTCTTCCGGGGGGATTCCATCTCGGCTCACCTTCTGCTTGTCTCAATCACCAAGCTTGTCACCTGAACCACAATTTTCAAGGGTGCTCTATTTTCATTTGCCAAATCACCATCTACCCTCTGGCAAAACCAACATAGCTATAGAAAGTCATCAGGTTTATATTCAAATAGGTAAATCACCATTCTCAGACTTGTTATCCATTATGATTAGCCTCATCATGTTTATCCATTATCAACCCAATGTTCAATAGCTATGCTAAATTACCAGAGGCTTTCCAGGCTGTGCAGGTACCATTGGGGCACCAGGGCATGATTGGGGAATTTTTCACAAACCAATAATTCCTGGATCATTATCATATTACACGCATCATACACATATAAAATGATATAAATACATCATGTACGTGTTTATTTAGCATCCTTCCATCCCCATCTCCATACCTTGCCCACTTGCAGCTCCAGCGGCTGAGCGGAGTACTGGATAAACTCAGGTCCCGCCAACTTGCTGCCATCGTTGGTCAGCACGGCCACCGATGCCATGTTGCCCGCTTTGTCCACCTCAGAGTGAAGATTTTCATGTGAATTGATGATGGTTACTGTTACCATTAATGCTGAATGATGATTAATAATCATCATGGTTGATGGTTAATGGTTGCTGGTTAATGGCTAATTAATGACAATGATGACTAATGAATGATTAACTATTAGTGAGGATCAGAAATAATGATGATATAAGAAGACAAACGTTGAGCAAGGATAAATGTGGACAAAGTGTGACAGAGGTTTTTTTTGTTGTATGTTATCCGCGTTTTCAGGAAAACTCCTCCAATTAATATCACACGAGTCTATTAATCCAGGGTTGACATTAGTGATCAGCACATTCCAGGTACAGTCATTAATAAATAAGCCTGGCTAGGATGTCCCAGAAGTGCCGATCAGGAACATTCCGTGGTGCTATCTGCTATCCTTTTGTGCTGCCAGAATATCAATGACCATCCATGACCTATACACATGAGGGCAGGGACAGCACTGGGTGCCATTCTCCGGCAGTTTCTGGTATGTCGAAAATCTCAGAATAAATATACTGTCTGGTACTTTTAACATCTTTTAACCCATCTGAAACAAGATGGCCGTAGATCAACTGGGATCAACATCCTTGGCGAAAGCCTACGACGTAAATCCACCAACTCTAGCAACCGGCAGAGTTCGGGGGTCCACAGAACCGACACCAAGCGACGTAGTTGGGGGCGGAGAAGACTGTGATCAAGGGAAATTGACCTCGGAGCTGGAGTTGGTCACAAGCTTGCCAGTCATTCTACATGAAGAACGACAGTCAAACACACACACACATAACAACACAAGCTCATGATTCAAGAGTCCGACATTGACATGATATCCTTCATATGGTGGATTTACCCGTTATCTTGGAGTGCCAGATTTTCACCAGGGCGCCCTCGTGGTCATAGCGGTAGCCCTGGGCCTTCACTTCGTGGGAACGCAAGGTCATCCTGTCAACGTTTTCAAGGATGGCCTAGTGAAGTCCCCTCTTTAAATAGACTTAATTAGTGGAATTTAATAGGGTTATAAACAACTTATATACTAACTAGGTACACGGCTCACAGGCGGCCGTGAGGAATTCAGCACACCAGCAATGCTGAGCATTTGTTTTTCTGCTGATTTACAGTGGTCAGAGCATTCCAGTCCATTTTGGATCTTTCACGCAGCCGTGCCATTGGTTAAAGCGGCTTCATCTCGTAATTAGATGGGGAAAAATATGTTTTTTAGTCATTTTGCAATGCAGTCAAACTATTTGTTTCAGTGGATGAAGCCGTCATTGAAAGTCATGATATTTCTTCAGCAGATCGACAAGGCATGACATCAATTCTTTGGGAGAACACGGCAAAATTGTTTGACGCCACATCCATTGCTGGATCCATTGTAATGCAGAAGAAGTTGATAGCGTGTGAGGGCCGGTGCAAGAGAAGAGTGGATAGCGTAGCAGCAAGTCCAAGAGATTATCTTGTAAGGCGGGAAGCCAAGAACGTTATAAGCCCCCCCCAAACCCCCCCCAAAGAAACAACAATGCAAAAATCAAGAGTGTCTTGCAAGTGACAAGAAGAAGTTGATAGCGTGTGCCAGGGTACGGTGCAAGAGAAGAGTGGATAGCGTAGCAGCAAGTCCAAGAGATTATCTTGTAAGGCGGGCAGCCAAGAACGTTATCAGCCCCCCCCCAAAGAAACAACCCAAAAATCAAGAGTGTCTTGCAAGTGACAAGAAGAAGTTGATAGCGTGTGCCAGGGTACGGTGCAAGAGAAGAGTGGATAGCGTAGCAGCAAGTCCAAGAGATTATCTTGTAAGGCGGGCAGCCAAGAACGTTATCAGCCCCCCCCAAAACCCCCCCCAAAACCCCCCAAAACCCACGGCCGTCTATAAGCCGTGGTCCAACTACTTGGTGGCTCATTTCGCAAGTGGGTCATAACCCCAGTTTGAAGTAGGGTAAGTTGGGTTTGTCCAGCTAGAACTTGGCTTCCCACCTAATTAGGATGAACGATGCACGAGCAAGTAGCACTTGCAATTTATTTGTATATATATATATAGATGATTTCATATGATTTCTGGGATAAAGATGCCCAAAAAATACATGTTGTTCCATACATCAACATACTGTAAATCAATTATATTAAATTGTCATTTTCAATAGCTACACACTTCATTACCGGGTAAAGTTGGTGATTAGGATTAGATTTTTCTTGGAACACATCATCTCACTTAATCCGTGATTGATTTGGTCTATATGTTGGAATAATTCTCTATTATTATATATTATAAATCTTAGTCCTAGCCAGCACCCCAAAACAAAAATCACCGCCTTCACCGGTCCGCGATGCGAAATTAGGGGCGGTCCTCAGGCCGTTGTACTCCATGAAGTTCTTGGAAACATCAGGGCCGAACCTCGGTATTTTCCCATGGGTTTTCCAATGGGTTTTCCAATGGGTTTTCCCATGGTTTAAGGGAGGTTTTCCAAAGTATCAAAAAGGGAACAGACTTTGGGAGGACCATGGCCTTCAGGCTGATTCAGGTCGAAATGTATCACTTTTTCAATGCAAAAAACATCATGGGCCATGATGAGCGTTAAAGGCCTCCCCTGAGGATGTTAAAGGCCTGCCATTTGGCGAGCCCAGAAATCACAACTCGACGCGTTTTTGTAACCCTATTTTTTCAGCAAATTGGAAGCGCGGTAGCCGCTAGCCAACAAAAAATCCGACTCCTGCCCTTTGACAAACGCAAACATGTTGATGGTTTTTGAGGGCACCTGTGATACCTGCTCCATACACCTCTGAAACCCAGCATGGAATGCCCAAGACTAGCAAGGTTCAACATAAAATGATCTAAAACCGTTTCCATTTGCAGGTCGCAGCTCATTTTCCCATAGCTGTTTTTCCCATGAGGCATCCATCCGCTGGCTAATCATCATGGGAACCATCTCCAAAATAGCAACCTCAAAGGGTATTATACCTCAATTTGCAGACACATCCACATATATCCACTTTTTTCCATACAATTTTCCCACTGGAATAAGATATCCCACAACATATCCAGCAACATATCCCACAACATATCACACCAGCCAGCCACGCCAGAGCATTGCCAGGCAGCAAGTAGATGCCTGAAGACATGCGTCCGGAAGGTCCATAGCCATCCTTGCCTCGAAACGAAGATCGCCATGGGATGCAAAAGAGCTGTAGTTCCGCCATCGTAGGCACACAGTTTATTCCGCCATAAATTATAAGTTTCTGAGATTTACAAACTGAAATAGATCTAGAACATTATAGAATGATATAGATAGACCATAGATCAGCTATACCTTAAGTATAGACAAGTTTTTTTCCTCCGTTTTCAACACCTGAAAACATCATCTTTCCCGAGACACCGCATGGTTTCGGCCAAGGAACCCTTGGGGTCAGACCACAGCAGGTCCACCATGAGAGGGTTCTCATCGGGGTTGGGCTCCATGAAGCGGTTGGAGTTCTCAATCTCCTGAGCTCCAAGCTGTCAGCCATGACTTCGGAAAAAAGAAACGTCTATGGTTTTGATGGCTTGTTGTTAAATATCTCTTTAAAGCCATATATATCATATATATATATGATATATATATATATATCATATATATATGTATATATATACTTACATGTACATATATATATATTAATATTATAAACATTGGTACTGAAGGTCAAAGTTCGGAAGTGGTTCATACATGTTTATGAGCCATGTTCTATGGCAAATGACATGTTTATATGTTTGTTATACCGACCTTTCCTGGGATGTACCGGTGCTGCTCCAAGTATTTTGGAGGCGATGAGGTAAGAGCATCCCATTTTTCATAAAGACCATCTGGTTATTTAACCTAGCCATGGAAAATGGCCCATTTATAGATGGTTTACCTATTAAAAATGGTGATTTTCCATGGCTATGTTAAATAACCAGAGGGTATATTAAATTACTGTATAATGTGGGCAAAACAATAGTACACCATCCCCCAAATCACCATTTTTATAGGTGGTTACCATTCCCAAATGGGTGGTTTACTATTGTTTTTTTAGCCACATTGTAATAAAATGATGTGGCCATATCATATCTGAAGCAATCTCGATGTGAAAGATCACTTCTAATCTGTCTGTCTTTGTCACTGCGGGTGTCAGTCCCTTTGTCGCTCAGTCCAGGACTCCAGGAGTCCCTTGATCTCCCTCGACTGCGCTGTGAGTCAAGTTGTGGGATTGTAGGATTGGAATAGCTACACATGCCAACAAAAAGACCTGGTTGGTGGTATACCTACCCCTCTTTTCAAAATATGAAAGTCAGTTGGGGTTATTATTCCCAATATATGGAAAAATAAAAAATGTTCCAAACCACCAACCAGAGTGAATCATGTCCAAACGCGCCAAATCAGTGCCATCAAAGAAACATCAGACTCACGGCCACAAACCAGCTGACCCAAAACACCACGCGTGGCTTGCGAAAACTCCCCCATGTGATCACCAAACAAAGCAGCTGATCGTAGCACACGCCCAAAAATTTTAACCACATATGCTAAATAACAATTCTTTGCATAGATTTCCTTCTCTACCTGGGGTTTCTAGGGACATTTTCTTCTCCATAGGACACTTTCCTATAAAGAAGAACATCTACGAACAGAGTTTACGCAACCGCAACCCTAGAGATAGGTCAAAACACAAGTGGTGAACATTTGAAGGATGAGTTTCTATGAATGTCCAGCTGCTTGACCCACATCCAAATCATTAAAACCCCATGAGAACCCCAAGTTTAGATACCCATGAAAACCCGGCTGCGTTTTATATCATATCATTTTACACGACTCATTCATGTTGAATGTTGTATATCATTGTTTATATCATATATCTCTATCCTTGATTGACTAGTGACTAGGGTGAAATTTCCATGACCGAAAGATCCATCTTGGGCTGATCTGGGATGGTCTCCAGTTCACCAAGCTTCAGAGAGGCTGATCTGGATCTGACGTCCATCGAAGCTGATCCTGAGCCCCATACAGAACAGTTGGAAAACTCGAAATTATGTGGCACCCTCCGGTACTCAAACATGGGAATGGGAAATCCCCAATAATAAATGGAGGTTTCTAGCTGGGAAAATCATTTATAAATGGCGGATTCTCCATTGCCCATGTTTGATTACCAGAGGGTAAATATGGTTGGGATATATCGTGTCATCACCGATATGATCCATATGGGCCTTAACATTTGTGATATTTTTGTTTTTGTTGTTTTCAAACCACTTTAAAGAGTGGAACTGCACCCCCAAGCGGAAATTATGGGGTAAATATCATCGAACTACACTCAGAAGGCCATGGTAAATCGCCCGCAAATCTTTCACCTTTCAAAGATATCTAGCTGGTGGTTTCAATCCCTCTGAAAAATATTATATAGTCAGTTGGGATTATTATTCCCAATATCTGGAAAAATTAAAAAAAATCCAAACCTACCAACCAGTATTGATTCTCCAGCCTAGGCCTCGTTACCTAGTTGGACTATCATTATACAAAACCACCATATTTTTGCCCCATAAATCACCAGAAATTCTTCCAAGTCCAAGGATCTGGTTGTCCATGCCCTTCCACCACACCTCGGCTTATCCAGGCCAATGGATCCAAGAAGCAATGCCCAGGGGAAATGCTGGCGCTTACGTGTCACGGCACTTTTTGCGACTTAAGGGTATATCACAGTATATCAATGTATATCACATGTGTATATAATATGTATATATAGATAAAAATAAATCAATAAAAAAAATATATATATATATATACATTTGTATGTAATATATATATATAATTAGTACATGTACCCCGCGTGGAGCTTTTGTGGGAAATCCTTTCAATGATTGATTGGATTATGATTAAACTATATCAAACTCTTGTCAAACCCCTGTTCGCCTGATGATTTTACGGTCTAAATCACAAACATCTTATATTATGTACACCTTCTGCTAGTTGACTCCCCTTTTCCGATAGTAAAGTCCATGTACCCTCTGGTTATTTAAGATATCTATGGAAGCCATGGCGCCCATGGGCCATGGACTCCTTCTATGAAACCTGGTGATTGCCAGGTGACTCGAGGATCAGGTCCTGGGATGCCACCGTGCACCACGAAGACCTCGTTGTTCAGCACATGGCACAGCGGCGTGGCACGGAAGATCTCCGCGAAGAGGTCCGTCATCTTCTTCTCGTACTTCACCTGACAGCTGGGACATCAAAAAAAAACGGCACAGATGATGGATTTCACCAGTGAATGGATATGAAATTTCATGGATCAATGGATTGGTTCAAAGTATTTTTGCTTTTTTCAGGAAACTTGAAACTAGGGGTTTTGCCACCAACACCTAGGCATGGGTGGGTATATGCCATTGATATCATGGAAATTAGAGCCAGAAACAAGTGCTAACAGGTTTGGACATCTCAACATATCTCAACAAAGGTAGGCCAGAATAAGATCAAGACATGCCACCAGTAACTCCCACCAGTAACTCCCACCGTAACTCCCACCTCTAATTCACCAAAGAAGCCATAGAAGTGATTTGCCATTTCCTGGAACGCGACGGAATGCGACAGCATCCCAGGGGTCCAACACATGCACGGTCTGAGGCTGTAGGAAAGGCCACTCTCCGGCAACTTTATGAAATTGAACATGGCTTGTTGAAGAATCCCAGTTTGGAATGGGTTAATTAATAGATATTAATAGGTATAATCCCTATTTAATAGGTACAATTAATCCCTATAGAATCCCAGTTGGAGAATCCCAGTTTGTTCAATAGGGATAATTAATTATCATCTGGAACATGTTCCATTTTTCCGGTTGAAGCGGGTGATTTCCCACTTGCGAACGTAAGCCGCTTGATTTGCACTTTATTAAATCTTGAGATTTTGAGGCTTTCAAAACCATGTGATTTACCATAGTTATAACCTCCGAAATGCGCATATTCACTATTCACTATGCGCATAGAGCATCATAGAGCCACAACCCCCTGCTAATTCACATCATAAAGCCATATAAGTATAAGCCTAAACATCCCTAAGCCAGATTCAATAGATTCATACATCAATGACACAATTACATCATTTTTGAGCCATGAGCCATGGGGATGATTCCCCTAGGCGCCCTTGCACGGCCAAGCTATGCCAAGCTTCGGCTTCGTGGTTGCCACGGTTCATGCCCACACCGGTGGGTTGCCAAACCTTCAGCGCCAAGATGGTGAACATCACCTGGAAGACATGGCGACGAATGGAGGACGAATGGTTGGTTATTGGTTGGTTCATGGATGATGGGTATTTTCAATGTGGAACTGTCATGAATTTCCAAGTGTTCATGGGATTCAACAAGGAAATATTATGGGAATATCACCAGCGAACATGAAGCAACAAACATTGGGGATGAACTTACGGGTACGGACGTATTCGAATGATACACAGATTGGACAGAAGAGTCTCAAAGCTCCGTGAAGGGCAACCCATCAAACTATGAACATAAAATAATATAAAATAGAAAGAGTTTTTCCGCTGGGCAGTGCGTAATTGCCATAAATCTAAATGCCACAAAATGCCAGAAATTTAACACATCAAGCTACCCTGAACTAAGGTACTTGGTGGCTCCTTCCACTTAGTAGCTTATTTCCCGGGATAGGGTTCGTTTGAAGCAGTTCCGGTCAAATCGCATAATCATTCCATATATATCTGGGTAAATTATCATATTTCACTAGCCCTAATCTTGCGGCCATGGGGATGGTTTCCCTATTTTCCCTCAATCTAACCATGATTCCAGGCTTAGAACAGGCTTCGGTCGTGATGACATTTACCCAGAATCTATAGAAATGAGAAAATCCCATGGTATATTCCCATAGTTGCTAGTGAAATCCCATGTTCCCATGGTATATTCCCATAATATTCCCATTCAACCAGCAACCAGCAACCAGCCTCCACACTCCAGGGGCCACGATCCACAAAGTCTCCGTTGAAGAGGAACTGGTTGTCAGGCGAAGGCAGGCCTGGATCCAGCTCGGGATCGAAAATAGATCTAGCTCGGCATTCTCAAAAAAAAGTGGGCTTTCCAACGGAACATGGATTTTTAGAAAATGTGGTTTCAACATGTTTCAAAGTGGTCTTGATGTTGGAAAATAAACGATAATAAATGTATTACATTAATGAACGTCAATATTTAGATGATGTTAGGTATTTGAACATGTCCATGTTCGATATGTTTTCAGGGTGCTGCCTTCTCGGATCCATTTTAAGACCGACGTTTTTTTCCTTAGCCAAGACTTGGAATTGCTGATGGATTTACCACGTGGAAACCAATGGAACATAGCATAACATAACAATGTGGAGAATAGGAACATAACCAAACAACTTCAACATCACAGCGCGCCTGCCAAGCTCAACATGTGGTCGAAGTCAAAGAGCTGTCCATGCAAATCTCCGACCACCGTGACCTTCTTGCCTGGGCATGGCACGATCCTTCCACTGACGCCCAAAACAACATTGGACCTGGCGGTTGCAAGGTACTAAGCACCTACTTCTGGTAGTTTTAGTGGGAAAATCGTTCATCTCTTCCCAACGAACCATTTCTACTTCTAGGGTCTCCTAAGTAGGGCCGGCACAGGCACCGGCTACCCTGCCGCCCAACCAGTCTCCCGGGCCTACGGGCACGTTGATGCGTCCCAAGGTCTTCTCCTTGACCAAGATGTCGAAGGCATCGATGGCCAACTTGTAGGCATCCTTCATGGGCAGCAGCTGGCCGTTCCTCGGAGATGGAGAGCTATGAACCTGCTCCACGGTGAATCAATGGATTTCTTGACAATTGATAAAAATTGGATATATATATAATATGTATATATATTATATATATATATATATCTCTCTCTCTCTCCCCTATTTATTTATACATATTTACGTAATTTGATTTATGTATGAATATGTATGTATGTACATAGGTTTAAATGGGGGGTCTCTACTGCTTTTGAAACGGGGATTCATAGCGGGACATACGTAAGAACTGGAATATTACATGTATAACTGTTTTTGTCCCTTGTATAACTGGGTTAGTAACAATGGTTGCATAGTTATTTGTTGTTATGAGATGACCATTTACATGGGAAACCCTGGGTTCACAATGAGGAAGCACTCCTGACCGTCTGTGTCACCAATCAAGACACCCAAGATATTCCCATCCTACCCCGGTTCTGTTGCTTGTCAGCTTCATGTCATGGTCACTCTTAAGTACCCAGCTAGACTGTTCATCCTTGGGATATGATTTGTACCCTTGCATAGCAGACATTAAAATAAGCTCAGCCTATCGTTCAAGAAGGTATAGGGCAAACATCTCCATTTCATTTGATGAATGTAAAACAAAGCACGTCGATAACCAACCATTCACCAATGCTTGCCATGGATCATCCAATTATACGTGTTATATACCCGGGAAGACTACAGCAGTTCATCTTCCCGCGGTCCCTCGTGCCAAGCGTCTTGAAGCTCGCCAACATCTGTTTGATGGAGGCTTCGTTAAGGGAGCCGGCGCCCATGTAGCGAGGTCCTTGCAACGGAGATTGAAAAGGAAGAAATGAAAGTAGGGAATCAAATCCATAAGGCTGATGATCTTTAGACATTTATATATACATATAATAACTAAATAAATACATATACACACACATATATATATATGTATACATATGTATGTATACACATGTGTATACATGTATATTTAGTTAGGAGCTTAGCATCATGAAATCTGACATCCATGAGATTCTATTCTCAGGAAACATTGTTTTTCCCCATCAGAAAAGGTGATTTTCAGTATTTTTTGCATTGCTGAAACTGCGTGACTTGACTAGCAACAATAGACAGTTTTATGGGTTAACCTTGGTCAGTAGGGACCAACAAGCCAAGAATGGGTTCATAGCCACTAGACTATGGGGTCAAACACGAGAATTGCATAGAATTGCCAGATATTTCAGCGATCAATGGATCGCTTGTCCCTTCACCCCAGTGCTGACGGAACCCAAAGAGATGACTAGGTCCATTACTTTCTCTAATAAATACTTGTTTCTTGTCACTAAATGTTAGGGAAACAAACGCAGTTTCTTCAATGCAACTCCTTTTTAAAGGCACCACAGAAGTGCCATCTGTAGTCACCGTGTCACCGTGTCACCCTCGGCAACTGAGTGGGATGTTGCCACATATGCTGCACAGCCGCGTCAAAAAAACAACAATGTACCTAACTGGAAACACCTGGACGGATGAGTTCTTCTTTGAAATTGTTGTATCTGTTTCTTGCCTGGAAAGTGCCCCATTCGTTCACTTCTCTTCCTGAACAAAAAGCATGGTTTCCCCTTCTGATCTTCCATCATGTTCCAACATTTTGGTGGAAATCATGGCTAATTTTTCTGGTTCATCAAGTGCATGGCCAGGTACACCCTAAAAACAGATCATCTATGAACGCACGTCGGGACATTTGATTACCCAAGCGTAAAACACCAAAAAAAAGTACAGTTATTGTTATTATAGTCATTAGGTTTCCCAAAGACATCAAATACCTAACTATAGAGAAAATAGCCAACAATCTCGCTGGTTTTTTTCATTTTCCATGGCCATTTTCAGACACCCCCAGCCACCAGCCACCGACCGTGGCCCACCCCACGGCCCCACGGTCCGTTGTGGCCCACGGGCTCCGGCATGGAATTCACGGAGGCCCGAAGGCTCTCCACAACTTGGCTCTGGTAGTTCGCAGGCGCCACGGGGATCTTGTACCTCGACCCATGGAGGATCAACAACCGGTCCCGATTTGGTCCGCAGGTGTCCTTGAATAAAGATCCATTACCCGGCCTGGTAAACGTTTACATAACGAACTGGAAAGATCCACCATGCTAATGGGAAAATCCACTATTTCTATGGTGATTTTCAATAGCTATGTTAAATTACCAGAGGGTAAACATAATGAGATGATTTCAATTGTCTTTGAAAACATGGGAGAAACAAATCGTCTTCAAACATGTTTGTTGGTATGTAATGAGCAATGTTTGTTCCAACGGGCAAACGCGACCGGGAAAACACCAAGTTATTGACCGCTTGCTAACTCCGATCACATCGCATTGTGACAATCCCGCATGTCCGGGATTCAGGCTCAAAACAGCGTAACAGCACCATGCTGGTCGATTGGAATCCCACTCGCAATTGAACTGTTCGACAACTTCGACAGCCTGTTTTCGGGATATGCCAAGCTTTAAATCTACATAAATGGACCTGTCATTGAACAAGACTTAGTCTTGTCATGGAGTCCAAACAGAAGCCGTTTTCTAGGGGTTTCCATAAGGTGAATGAATAAACCATGACTAAACAGAACTATGTCAACATCTTTGGTTTTTGTACATCCACCTACTCCCATTTTCCCATCACAATCCAAACAAAACCCAATACCTTCCAATCAACATTGCCTTCCAAGTGGCTCCTTAGTTCGATATCCCACTATTAACATCTATTGACACACTTCTATCTTGTTATATCCCCCTACCCATCATTTTTTTGGCTTTCAGGTGACTCCTTAATCCCCCATTGTTGGTTACAACTATAAATATAACTTATAACCTAGTTCTAACCACCATTTTCCCCGGGCTTTAATATGTTTTCACCGCCATTCTCCCACTATTCTCCCACTATTGTCGCATGATACGCCCCATGTTTCCTTGGTTTCAAACCCCCATATTTTGTTCCTTCCAAGTGGTTGGTTGGCTTATTGGGTTTCCCAGTGTGGGTTTGAATAATCCGTAATCCTTTTCCTTATAACTATAATAACGTCCATTTTTTAGGCATTTACTGTAACCACCACATTTTGCTTTAAGTGCCTCCTTAATCCCATATTCTTGGTTATAACCTAGTTCTAACCCCAGTCCTGGTTTAAATATGTTTTAATATGTTATAACCTGGTATTCTAACCCCAATTTGTCCCGGTTTTTCAAATGTTTCAACCCCCATATCTTTCTTCCAAGCAGCTCCTTAATGGTGGCATCCCTTGGCAAATCCTTGAAGCGGTCATCGCTGCGGTCGATGCCGGGGCTGACCTCGCCCATGTCGCTGCCCGGGACGGCAGCCGTGGGCTGCGCATCGCTCAGCACGGCGTACTCCACGGCCACCTTAGAGAGGAACCATACCTTCAACTACTACCTGGGGACCCTGGGGCTTCATTTTAGACCCCAAACCTTTGGTCTAGAATCATGCTGCCTGAACTGTTTAGCAAAATAACATGTACCCCTCCAGACCCTTACGGAGCCCGGAGCTGCCTGGTCTAAAATGAAATTCTTGTTGGACATATTTGGAACTATCAAGATACAATGTATGAATAATTACGTATGAGCAAGTTTGCATTTGATAGAGTGTTGAATAAAAAACACACGTTCTATAATATGAGACCAAATGCAAGATAGTAAAAACATAAAATATAATCTTCAACTTTACGCTTCCATTTTGGTACCGCTACGCGCTTCCATTTTGGTACCACAATGCGCCTCCAGTATGGGAGCACTCTGCGGCTGAGTAAGTATCAAATTTGAAGTGTTCCATAGGGGGTTCTCAAGCTAGAGGCTACAGGGGTCTAATTTGGTTTTCTTGTGGCCTAGGTGGAAAAAATCTTCAAATTGAAGGGCATCGAAGGGCAATATTTTTTCAGACCCTCCCTCTGATATCTTTTCAACCTGCGGTGTCTCCAAAACTTTATGAGGAGATTAGGGTTTCTGAAACTTTATGTCAGATGAGAGCCTGCTAGATTTTGTGTTACTATCAAATTTTTTGCCGGGCTCAGATTTAAATATGCTTGACAAGATTTGCAAAGAACATACTTAATTTTCGGCTTTGTGCTTCCATTTTGGTACCGCTACGCGCTTCCATTTTGGTACCACAATGCGCTTCCATTTTGGGAGCACTAAATGGGCAAACGCCTCACTTGTGACTCAGAAAACCGTTCACTTGCGTCTCTGTCCCACTTGCGTCTCCTATGTCTCACTTGTGTCTCGGAAAACCGCTCACTTGCGTCTCAGGCCTTCTGCTCACATCATGCGTTCTTGGGAGCGGGGTGGGGTGTGATAACGTCCCTTGGCTCTAGGCACAGGGGCTATATCCTAACGCTTTTACTCTTGCGCTTCCGCACATATGCTACGCTATGAGATCTTCTCTTGTACTTGCACGCCGGCATGATCCCACGCTATCAGATCTTCTTCTGGCGGGTGGGGTGAGGTGAGGTGGGGTGCAGATGATGACGATGATGACGATGATGATGATGATGATGATGATGATAATGATAATGATGTTGGTGGTGATCATGATGACCAAGATGACGACGACGATGACGATGACGACGACGATGACGATGATGATGATGACGATGACGATGACGATGACGATGACGATGATGATGATGATTATGATGATGATGATGACCAAGATGACGACGACGATGACGACGACGATGACGATGATGATGATGATGAGGATGACGATGACGATGACGATGACGATGATGATGATGATGATGATGATGATGATGATTTGGGAGTCACAAGCGAGCAGATTTTGGAGTCACAAGCGAGCAGATTTTGGAGTCACAAGCGAGACATCGCCCTTATATTTTTGGGGCTGAAGTTTAAACAACAGTTGACAAGATGTGCAAAGAACATACTTGATCTTCGGCTTTGTGCTTCCATTTTGGTACCGCTACGCGCTTCCATTTTGGTACCACAATGCGCTTCCATTTTGGGAGTACTATGCAGCTCAGTAAGTATCAAATTTGAAGTGTTCCATAGGGGGTTCTCAAGCTAGAGGCTACAGGGGTCTAATTTGGTTTTCTTGTGGCCTAGGTGGAAAAAATCTTCAAATTGAAGGGCATCGAAGGGCAATATTTTTTCAGACCCTCCCTCTGATATCTTTTCAACCTGCGGTGTCTCCAAAACTTTATGAGGAGATTAGGGTTTCTGAAACTTTATGTCAGATGAGGGTCTGCTAGATTTTGTGTTACTATCATATTTTTTGCAGGGCTCAGATTTCAATGTGTTTGACAAGATGTGCAAAGAACATATGTAATCTTCAACTTTGCGCTTCCATTTTGGGAGCACTGTGCGCACGCACACATCATCCAAACGTCGGTTGAAATTGGTTCCAAAAGAATGTAGGATATTCGGAAGGTGCACCCCATCAAGACTCTGATTGATCATGTCTTGCTAAATGAACACAAAACAGTCACTGACACGAACAAGTATACAAATTGAATCTACATAATCAGCAACTACATACAAATATAATCAAATATATGATATCCATAAGTACAATGATATAGAAAGTCGAGGGGTCTAAAATGAGCCACGTGCAGGGGTCTAAAATGCCTCAAGCTACCTTCCTAGACCCTTTGCCGGCTGGTCCCCAGGTCCAGCCATTTCAGACGTTTAGTACTTGTGGGTATGAGAAACCAACGCCTTGAAGTGATTGGGAGCCATCCAAGTTGGTGATTTATTGGAAAAAAATAGCACCAAAAAAATGATTTTAATGGGATTTCACCATCAAGAACTGGTGATTTATTGGAAAAATCATGGATCTTAGCATTCTTAGCCCGAAAATTGGACTCACATGGAATTCCAACCTCAAAAATTGGTGATTTATAGTGGTTGTTTAACATATCTTGATGTCACCCCAGTTCCCCAATGGCCCCCAGTTACCCAGTTTCAGCGCGCCGAGGGACGGGCAGCTCCGCAGGCTGGTTGCCCATGCCGCCGCTGCCGCTGGACTGGAAGATGCCGGCCGAGTTGTCCAAGATCTTGTCCTCGGCTCTGGGACAATCCTGGAAATTAACCAACAAAATAAACAATAATAACCATGATGATAGCCATGAAAAAAAACACGATATTAAAATTCATTAAGCCACTGTATATATATATATTAGCTATAATTATCCCATACTATTTCACACACACATAAACAACTACTATATATATATATATCCGGGTAAATTTGTCATACTTCACTCACCTGAAGTGTTGGGTTAATATTGGGGATAATTCCCCGGTACATTCACCATGATTCCAGTGAGAACAGCGATGTCGTAATTGTTCATTTACCCAGGATGATCTTTGCTGCAAGAAAGCAAATTTTCGGGTAAACAAAAAAAAACACACATAGAATGGTGGATAGATTTGCTGAGAAATGGTGGTTTTACTCTAGTCAAGTCTCATTTTGAATGAACTCAACATGATCAAACTGGTTTTTCAGTCCTGATTTTGCTGTGGATCATCCCACGGAGCGGCTTTCCAAGTGGCTGGGAGGATCGCTGGAAGTTAAGCAAGCGGGGCAAACAAACCTAACATCCATATATACAAAAAAATAGCAACCAAAAATCACCGTGTCAGAAAATGATGATAGGAATCACGTTTTTTTAGCTGAGGTGTGGTTGTCATCAACCATCCCATATCAACCGAACTTGGGGATGGTGGCATATGGTGCCAACGCTCCAAGGTCTCCAAGGTCATTTCCACGCCAGGAATCATCCAACAGGTCCATGATGTCCCAGAAATCCCAGGTGCTCACCTCATTGCCATGCTGATGCTGATGCCCTTAAATGGTTTCAAATATGTCACCATTCGAAATCTGCCAAGAACATTCAATAACAAAAAGTTATTTAATCAGACTTTAATAACCAGATATAACTGATATAACCAGATTTTATGGGAGTTCCCAACCATTCCCAACCAATCCAACCATTCAAATCTCATCTCCTGCCATTCCTCCTTTCAAAAGCAAGCGACATCGAGTCCACCCACGCGCTTAATGGCCATGTACTGACGCGCGCCACCCACCCAGGCCTGACCCTGGGGATCTCCAGGGTACCTCACCAGCAGGTTCACCAGCGCAAAACACATGACATTTAGCTGGTTCGGTTCACACTATATCTCCAGATATATACACAAATTATAAATACATATTATAACTATATATATAATATATATAATATATAATATATAATATATAATATATGTTATAATCCATCTACAATCCAATTCATAGCCAGGTAGATCAACTAGTCAGCACTAAACTTGCTAAACTATCCTTCACCAGTGGCTTTTCCCGATTTTGCGAGACAGTCGAGCCTGGATTGTTCGCTCATCTTCCAAATCATTGCGCCCTTGCCGCTGGTGCTAGGCGCCTGGTCCAGCGGGCGAAGTTGCTTTTAAAAAAGTCTATTCCAGGCATGGCAAAGTTGCACAAAACTATAGATTTTATTTCATTTTATATCATGTTATATCATGTTATCATTTGTCACAGAGTTCTATAAAAGTCTCATTTCTTGGGAGCCGTAAGTAGTTCCAACCTGAGGGCCTGAGGGTTTCAATAGTTTCAGCAGGCATTTGCTGTCGATGCTTCTGGCTTTGGATTGCCCATTGAAAACTTGGTCACTCCAACTGGTTGGCGGCTGGTTGCTGGTCCCGGGCACTTATAACTTATAACCCAATTAGAAACCCCAATTCAAACAAGAACAAATGCATAGTGAACCCTCAATCCATCAATTTTCATACATTTTTATCCTTCACATCCCAATATCTATGGCTAACATTGGCTAACCTCCCCCTGTTTGAATGGCGACAGATCATCTAAAATCCCCTTCTCCAGGAACCACGGCCACCAAGATACATAGGCCAAGACCCCGAAGGGTCGCTTCTTGTACTCCACCGTGACACTGCTGACCACCGATGAGGCGTCTGAGACGTCGAAGGTCTTGGGCTCACGCACCTGGAAGCGAGGTCCAACATGGAGGTCGAAAATGGGGGACGAAAATGGGGGGATCTCAAGTGGATTCTTGGGCAGGGCAATCTTTGGTGATTTTGGGGATACTTGGGATTAAGATGGGGGAAATGTTACAGATTTTTATGATTCATGTACGACTGTTTATTTGTTTTTTAGGGGGATGAAATGGGATGAACTGTTTGGGAGTGCAAAAAATATGATGTGCAGATTGGATTCTATTGATGTGTTTTTGTTTTCTTTCTGGATTTACATGAAATGACATTATGATTTGCTTAATGGACCCGTGTGGATTTGTACTCTACCAGAGATTTTTCATGGATTACTTGGGGGTGCATCCCGGGAATTACGCCTGGCTGCCCATGTGATACCCACTGGATGGTTAATGGAATATGTGCAGCTTCATTGCTGTGGATTACAAAAATTGTAAACCAATATAAGGATATATAAGGATGGACAGGAATAAGCGCCAACATGGGGATTGGTACCAACTGAACATAGGAAATTGATGGATTTTTTTCAGATTGGATAATTGGATCAAGAACATTTTACGCGAAGAAACGGCTCATGGGGATTTGAGCAGCACTTACCAGGGGTAATCCTGGAGCAATGCGCCACCTGCGCTTCTCGTTTGAATGAGGTTACAAAATTGTGGTGATACCTTGATACCTTGATACTGAAACTGGTTGGTCACTGTGGCCCTTAACTTCTATCACAACGATAAAGTTGCAATGAGCTTGCACAACTAGATTCGAAGCACCGTGCCAAGTGCAGATTCTAATCCTAATGATGGTTAGTTATCTTCTTTCAGACATTTCCTGCCCAAAACCATGGTGAATTCTACAGAGTTTGGCCATGGCCGTTGAACCCAATGCTGCCGCTTGCCACCACCCAAACGTTTGACGATGTTGGACCCCCAAAAGCCGATCCAGTTGTTCAAGGGCGCGTTTGGGAGCTGTACCCTCAAATCACAATGATGGCTGGCTTTCTTCCCTAATGTCAACCCCGGAGTAATAAACCCCGGTTGGTGGCGGTTGCCCACAAAGAGTCTTCATGAGTCTTCCAGATACCAAATACTATTAGAATTGGAAATCCCCTGTATCATAAGCAGGCGTTTTTTTTTGAATCCTACGTTAACATTCCAGTGTTCTTCAGAAAAGAAATAGCTAAGCACTGCTTCCCTCAGTAATCATCTAGGTTTCCCACTACCGAATGGTTCCACGATGTTCCACGCCTTGTTTCCTTCACTATCACGCATGGAGGCATGACGTGCCACTCGGGATCTCAACTGCACTGCCGGTGCACTGTGGCTGGCAGGTACGAAGGAGAGGGCCTCGCTGCCGTCGGTGCCGTGAAGACTCTCGGGGACGGCTGGATGTGCATTCCGGGAATCATAAGTGGCTGAAGTGCAAGGGATTGCAAGTGTTTTTTTGTGGCTTGTTCCTGGAATTTTGGCCAGCACACAACAGGATTTGAGATTTCACCAGCATACAACTGCACATCGGGATCAACCTCAAACGATCATGGAAAAGGACAACAACTTGAACACAAATCAACCGATCGAACAGGGATTTTCTTGCATCCCTCAACGCATATCGCGTAGTTTCTATTTGCTACTCATCCGCTGAGGTTAGTGTTGGGTGGCATCGTCTGACAACATTTTGCAGGTTAGTTCCATTGCTCGTATGATCATTCTGACCTGGTTTGAATAAGAACTCAAATATTTTGATCGGAGTAAGTGTTGATTATCTTGTGGGAGACTAATGTATATGCTAATAAAAGCAGCTGGCATCCATATTTTTTGGATAGCAATGTTAGTTTAAGGGTAGACTCGCATGAAGTCGGGAATTCTGTTGCATTATTCAGCCTGATGTGTCGGATTGTTGGTGGCTTACAGATTTGAACCTAAAGATCCCACCTCTGTATGCACCTCTCGATTTCTAACTCCTTTCCGGGGTAATTAGTAATTAGTGGCTCTGTTCGTTTTGAGGGCCGATATGGGTGGTATTAAGAGTGGGGGGGAAGGGATTATATAACCATGATTATATAACCATTGTTAGTGCACACATCAACCCCCAAAAGCGCACCCAAAAGCTGCCGAGCCGCAAATCGGCCGGCAGCACAAAGTGCCACCAACGCGACCTCAACAGGCCCTGACTGTTGAGTTCATGGTATAGCCGCCCCCCCAAATCGAGAAAGTGACCTCCTACTATAGAATGATGGAAAGTGAATTGTCTATCTTAGGGCGGCAACTATAGATCTATCTTGAGTTAAATGGGTGAAAATCAACCACACTTTCACCATCTTTTGGTTGGGGGCCACTGGTAACTGCATCGAACACATCACAATCAGCTGGAATATCCCAGGCGAACGCTTGAAGCATCTCTAAGTATTGACATGGAAACCTTGCATATAAAAAGCAAAACAACCTTTGGTTCAACGTTTATTTTCTTTTTATTACGGTTTTTTCTTGTTGGTGCATATATATATATGTGGCGTCCTTTTCACAATGGCACTTGGGATTTGGAGGGGTTACACGATTATACCACCAGGGTTCAACCATCGAGTTGCAGCTGTGGGAAGCAAGGCTGGTCGACGGGTTTGAGTCGGCGCCATTGTTGGAGAACTTTTTGAGGCGACAGGTCGGGGGGACGACGGATCTTGAGCCAAATCTCCTGCTGCAGACAGGGGCTTTGTATAGCTCAGAGAAGGCCAAAATATCAAGATTCTTGGTGAAGTAGCACTGAGCGCTAGATTGTCAGGGAAAATCAGCAGCAAACAGTCAGAAAACCACTGCAGAACTGGATGTTTCTATCATAAACACATGGGTTCTTTTTACATGTGTCATCTTTTTCCGTAAGCCAAGACTGGGAATACTAACCCAACCCTTCCACACTCCTGGCCAAAAGGTCATGATTCATGCTGTAGGAGGCGTGGGAGCTGATCAGATCAGCTTTTGGGCATCTATATATTATATATATAACTGCACATCATTGCACATCTATTATTAGAACGCTATACAAATCCCAATCATCGGAGGTCATCATGGACGGCCACGTTTCGGAGTTTCGCCTGGCGCCAGGCGTTGCAAGGAATCCATCAAGTTCTCCAGTTCCATCGGTTGATGCGTCTGGCCGAACGTCACCAAAATGGGAGTCGCTTTTTTGAGCGAGCAAGTCACCATGCAGTTATGACCCGAAATAGCAGTTATAGTTATAAGATGTTATAAGTACAAACAAAACCCTATGACATGTATAATCCCAAAGAATAACCAGCTATGAGTAATAGCCATGGCCATACCTGTGGGAATCCATCGGGAACTTACCAATTCGGCGCCTGATGCCATTCCGCTGCTTGCGCCTGTCGATAGCCCTCTAAATCTTCCATGAGTGAGCCGCGGGGTGGCTAAGGAGGGCCCCCCCGTGCACTGGGGTGACTTCAAGGTTTTTCACTGAAAACCATCATTAATCGGAAAAAATATGGGAAGATGTGGGAAAACCATCATTAGTCATGGGAAAATATGGGAAAATGACAAGTCAATGAGAGGAGTTGCTTATGTTGATTGAAGGGAAGCTTGGCAAGGACTCATGACGCGAATGTCCAAAGAAACCTGGGGCAAAGAAAGGAGTGCAACATATCTTGAAGTATTGAACCATTTTGGGGTCCCAATCATTTTGAACCATTCCTGGAGTTGTTAAAATTTCCATGTAGATCCATCCCGGCTTTCAATGGGCAGCCGTTCTTGGTACTGGCGTCGAGCCTGGAAATGCGACAGCGATCCCTACGAGTCTACGAGGTTACCACGGAGACCAAAACTAGGGTGACCTGACTCACTTTGGTGCCAAGTTTAGTTTATAAGTGGGTTATAACCTAGGGTTATATCCCAGTTACTAAGTCATAACTTCTTAGCTAACTTTTTGTAACTTTTTTTTTGCTATAAAAAAAGTGTCTTTAAAAGTGATCAAATTTTGATCTTTTTGATGATTTTGAGTGTTTGCTGTTTGAAGCGTTTTCAACTGCTCAAAAAAATGCCAAATGGAGCGGTTTTCAAACCTCTAAAAACTATTTTTGTTGGAACAGCCGTTTTCAGCATGTCAAACACTATAATTAATCACGTGTTAAAACCCAAACTGTGAATGAAGATGTGTTCATGTCCACTAGAGAGGATGTATTGCTTGAAGAAGTGTCCAGGTGTTCACTTTACCTTGGCTAAATGCTGCAGAGTCCCTTTGACAAAACTCAATTTTTGCAGGATATCCTAGATGTCTTCAACGTAATTACAATATACATCAACATACCCATACCTGCCAACAAATGCATGCAGTATTCAAAACAGAAATGCAGCATACCCTTCTTCATAAGTGCAATCTTCCTTTGGAGCAACGCAGTGTGTTTTTGCAGAACAATATCCCTATGAAATATCAAATGTTCCTTGAAAAGATACACCATGCCCTTTGGAGGAGTACAGTGTGCATTTAACAAAATTTCCTTTGAAAGGGGTCCTCAAGGTGAAAGGGATCCTGGCCTAGAAGCCTCCAAGATTAATTTCGACCGAGCTTTTGCCTTTGTATGAAAAACTCGGTCGAAATTAATCTTGGGGGCTTCGCGCGCATAAGGAACATTCTTGGCCAGGACCTCTTTCACCTTGGGGGCCCGTTTCAAAGGAAATCTTGTTATTTCCACATGTCTAACCTTCCTTTCAAAGGAGCAGTATCCCTTTTAGAAAAGCCAATATTGCTGCACAATATGCTGTATTTTTGACATAGAGCATCCCTTTCAAAAGTGCAATATGTTTTGAAATGTGAGATTTTTTCAGAATGTTTTTTCGCTCCTTACAACAGAGCATTGTCCTTTATGGCAACACAATCTTCCTTTGAAAAAGCAGCATCCGTGGAAACCTGGATTACTGTTCATTGATATATGTATCTAATCTACTCTAATCTAATCCGTTCAAACCAATCCAATCCAGAGATATCTCATCTATATAATCCAATCCAATCCAATCAAACCCAATCAAATCCAATCCAATCCAGTCCAATCCAATCCAATCATATCCAATCCAATCCAATCTATCTAATCTAGCCAAATCAAATCTAATCCAATCCAATCCTATCCAATTCAATCCAATCCAATCAAATCCAATCTATCTAATCTAATCTAATCCAATCTAATCCAATCCAAGCCAATCCAATCCAATCTAATCTAATGTAATCTAATCTAATCTAATTCCAATCCAACCCAATCCAATCCAATCTAACCTAATCTAATCTAATTTTAATCCAATCCAATCCAGTCCAATCCAACCCAACCCATCCCAATCCATTCCAATCCAATCCAATCTATCTAATCTAATCTAATCTAATTCCAATCCAATCCAATCTTATTGAAGTGCTGTAAAGGCCTCTGTGGTATATGGGTGGGATATATTGAGATATACTAGGGGAAACTGGGGTTTACTTGGGGATACTACGGTGTACCATGGTATACTGACCGTATACCATGGTATACTGACCGTATACCATGGTATACTGACCGTATACCATGGTATACTGGTGGTATACTGGTGGTATACTGGTGGTATACTGGTGGTATACTGGTGGCACACTGGTGGTATACTGGTACACTCCCTAATCCAATCCAATCCAATCTAATCTAATCTGATCCAATCCAATCCAATCCAATCCAACCCAATCCAATCCAATCCAATCCAACAACCCCATCCAATCCAATCAAATCAAATCCAATCCAATCCAACCTAATCTAAACTAATCTAAGCTAATCTAATCCTAATCTAATCTAATCTAATTCCAATCCAATCCAATCCAATCCAATCCATCTAATTCCAATCCAACAAAACCAAATCCAATCCAATCTAACCTAACCTAATCTAATCTAATCCAACCCAACCCAATCTAATCCAACCCACTCAAATCCAATCTATCTAATCTAATCTAATCCAATCCAATCCAGTCAAGTCCAATCTATCTAATCTAATCTAATCCAATCCAATCCAGTCCAAACCAACCCAACCCAATCCAATCCAATCCAATCCAAGCCAATCCAATCTATCTAATCTAATCTAATCCAATCCAGTCCCTCACCCAATCCAATCCAATCCAAAGCAAGCCAAGCCAATCCAATCTATCTAATCTAATCTAATCCAATCTAATCTAATTCAATCCCTCAGTCCCTCACCCAAGCCTGTAAAGACCTCTGTGGTATATGGGGACGTCTCAAAATGAGGCGCGCCTTTTTTGACCCCCAAAACGCTACTTAAAAAAAAGGGCTCGCCTCATTTTGAGACATTCCCATATGGGTGGGATATATTGGGATGTACTAGGGGAAACTGGGGTTTATAGTCAGCAATGTCAATATCAAAAAACGTACTCATTGGCCGCCTTTGTTTTTTCATAGTCTTCTGGCATGTTTTCAAAAATAAGTCAAAAACAAAATTGCTTAATCCATGCCCCAAGCCCCTAACCTTCCCCCAAGGATACCCTGTTTTTCCTTGGTTTTTACATGGTTTCTAATGGAACCAGAGACCTAAAGCAAGCAGAAACAACCACAAACAAATTTGCAATGCCTAAGGGGGGAAAAGTGGCAAAGAGTTAGATCCTGCCACTTTTTTTGCCAGTCCCTCAAAATAACAACGAACCAAGAAAGCAAAACACCAAAAAACCAAAAAAACAAAAAAACAAAAAAAAACAAGATTGCACACCCCAAGGGGAGGGGGTCAGATGCAGTTTGTTGGGTCTTTTTTTTGTTTCTTGTTTTTTTGTTTTTTGATTTTTTTTTGTCTTTGTAAAAAGAAAAGAAACTGCAAAGGTGAGATTGCAAAGAGCAAACTAACCCATTGCAGGTGCATAAAGCACCTAAAAAGGCGCGCTCCCACAGTGGCCTGTTCTGTTTAAAAACCAGTTGCACATTCCCTCAGCCATGGAAGCGATGAAAACCGCGATTTTTTCTAAAAAACAACTTCGAAGCGGCTCAACCGCTATAATTAGAAAAACTATTGTTTTCGATACACTAAAAACAAGTGTTTTTTTCAATTTTTCTAAGTTATAAAAATGTGCTAAAATTGTTGATATTTTCTTCACTTCATAACTTTTCATAACTTCTTGTATAACTTTAGTTATAACCAGTTATAACATGAACTTGGCACCATAGCATCCCAAACTCAACTTGGATTTCCGAAGTGGCCAATCTTAGATACCCTAAATGTATACATGCATTTATATGTATATATATATATGTGTGTGTGATATATGTAAACATATTAAACCGATTTAAACAGTATATATACATGTTTGATGTTGGTCAGGCCATGTCCGGCAAATATACCTACATTAGAAAATGAATTTATATACAATGTTTACACATTTTTACCTATCTTTTATGGTATCAAAATCTGCCGGTGTTGAAGTACCTGTAACGATTTCCCCGGATTTACCAGATGCATTTTTTCAGCAAATCTGGGAGGGTTACAGCTTATATATCCCACATGATCCCACTATACTATATCCCAATCACTATCCCAATGATATCATCATTTTTCCAGGGCAAGGGCACTTCTCATTCTTGATGGTGAATTCCAATATGATTGAACACCAATATTGCCACCTGCCATACCATTCTGTCTCCTTATATCTCAGTAAGGTGTAATAAGATTCTAGTGAGAAATTCCCCATATTCCAAAGCCGAACACATTCCAGACCAAAAAGAATGAAAAATGTTGATGATTGCATTGACCGGGCCGGAGATGCAACTTGCGCAACTCTCTTTTTTCCCTTAATATGTGCCGGAAGTTCGCACATGATCCCCTTTGTAAAGCCACAAGGGTTCAGCCAACTCAACTTGCGTGAGTGATTGTTTGGGTAATGTAGTATATTTCTCTTTTGTGCTACCCTATGATAATTTCTTTCTTTAAAATTTGTGGTCTACATACAAAACGATAAAATAAACAATCACATCCAAAACGGGACGTAAAGAAAGAAATTCGCATCAGTGTTTCACCAACAAAAAAGTTGGCCAGTGCAAAACCGAAGAAATCCTGGGAGCGCCATGGATATACTGTGAGGAGTAAAACCAGTGAGCTTTCCGCCCAAAAAGTCGTCATTCATTCAAACATTTTCTCACATGCCATTCTTTAAAATGCGATTCCATCCTGGTATGCGTTTGCCTTCTCTTTTGGATATCGTGCAGGCCTTCACCAAAGCCCCAAGAGTTTCCCACACATACTCGCTACGTTCATATACCGCACAGAGAAGCATAGATGAAGATGATTTTTTTTTTTTCGTTTTTTACCCTAGTGCATTGGAATGCGATGGTATGTGTTTTTTGAACCCTTTCAGGTGAAAACTCCATTTTCGCCATATTCCAAAGGATTCATATTCCAGAGTTTTTGAGGACAAACGCGAAAAAAATCGCCCGAAATGTTTGGGGACGAAACTTGGACGCAAGGTTCGTATACGATGGCGATGGTGGTACGCGATTGCTGCCCTGAAGTGCGAAGAGATCTAAGTATGTGCGGCTACCTCTACCCATGTGCTAAGTACATCTCACACCCCTTCGTGGTGTGTGTTCGGGGTGGTGGTATGCGCTCGGGTTGGTGGTATGCGTTGCCGCGAAGTATGCGCAGTGAATCAGGGGAACCTTATAAGATTCAAACAAATCCCATAAGTTTTTTGTTCTGGGTTTTGGGGACTGGAAAAGTTGAACCATTGTCCTGCAGTCCTCATGTTTATAGACGTGATTTTGCTCCATCACAATAGGATTTTCCCCCGTGAAATAGGGTCTGAAAATTGACCAAATGGTCCAAAGGATGACAGGTGTGAAAGCCATGGAGTAAACCGGTATCCACTGCACCTGAGCCTTTTAAATGCCTGTTGGGATGCATGTTCTTTGTAGATACCGTATACCCCTCAGAAGGTCAACACTCTTGTTCTTGACCCCTCTACAGGTATCAGCTCAAGTACAAACTGTTCAGGAGCTGTAATGTCTAGCAACCCTCAGTTCTACCTCTCTGGAGTACGACGAAAGTAAGGTATACGAAGAATTTTTCCGATTGGGGAAGTACGCTCTAGAAAGATGATGAAATCAAAATTCAAGTGGCATCCCTGTTTGAACTTTCTTTACTTTAACAATTGCGTAAATTCCTAGGGTGATGGTGAATCGGGCATCCCCTTAGTCGCAAGTAAATTTCCATTCGAATAATCTGCGAAAGTTTCAACAGAGACCATCTCCAAGACCAGCCGCGAAGTTTTCTCCGCCGAACTGCGTAACTGCGTCTTTCTAATCGATGGTGGGGCCGTTCAGAATATCGATGTCCTGAGTGCCACATGGATTACCAACCTCTGGAGATGGCAACTAACAGCTCGAGCAGCTCGACCATATGCCAGGGGGGAAGGGTTTCGTTCCTCAAGATGTTCGGGAGAATCTGACCAGGAAACCATGGCTTTTAGTTTCTAAAAAGGGGTTGAATCACCTTAATCGGCACTTGAACAGATTTGGGGATCTTGAGGGAATTCGCCACAAACACTGCGTACACAGTCGTACATCACATCAATTTTTCACGGCAATGGCAGGAGCAGCAGCGCTTACTGTCAGCTCTAATCAGCTCTGGTGTTGTTGTCATAACGATGGGTGTGGATGACCCAACCTGTATGATTCATCCCCTTGGCTTTGTCCACTGGCTATATATATATATAAATAAATAAATAAATGTGTATATATATATATATGCCGGAAATGAACTTGTGAAAACCAACCACCCCAACCATGGCACATGGCGCACATCCTCTGGTAAACGTTTACAGTTAGTGAACTGGAAAATCATCATGCGAAAAAAAACAGCTACAGCTAAATCAACTATTTCAATGGGCCATGGCTTCAATAGCAAACTGTCAGTTTACCAGAAGGTATATCATGTTATATCCGAAGCAATACCTCATTATATCCATTATTAACCATAATTAACAATGATTAACCATGGTTATACTACCAACTGATTAGTATTGATTAGTTATTAATATGGTTGTTAAACCTGGTTATTTTCACCTATTATTAACCATGGTTCTAGTTAGCGACATGATTATGTAACCATATTAATAGTTGAAAATAACTAGGTACCCTTTAGTTATTAGCCATTTAATGGCTATTATTTACCATTAAATAGATTTAAATAGCTTAACCATTATTAACCATGATTAACAGGATTATTTAATAGCTAACTGCTAGTCATTGCCAAAGGCTACCGGCTTTCCGATGGATTCCAAGGTGCATCGCGAATGCCCAAGACCGAATTCTCTGCGGGATGATCGCGCATGGCTCGAACCTGGATTCGTGATATGGGACACCAACAAAAATTGGGGAGTTAAGGAACATGAACCTAGTCTAGTTTGTTTACTTAGTTTACTTAGTTTACTTCGTTTACCTCATTTACCTAGTTTACCATAGTTTACCATAGTTTACGGCTCATCTTTCTCCCACCTTTCATGCTGGTTTCAGCCAGGCCAAGGCTAGAAAGTTACAGAAGCCAATCCCGCACCAGACTTCAACCCTCATCACATGCCAATACTTTGATACCCAAATTGTTTATCACCCATAATGGGAATGACATGGATTTATTGGGAATTTCTATCACCCATAATTTATGGATGGGGGTATCTTCCATGCACCAGGGCGATGACTCACATGTCCGTAAAGGTGGATAAGTCTGTTTCCCCATTTGTGCTAAACATGATCTCTCGACCCGGCCAGCATCAAGCAAACACCCACATGCCTTCATGTACTTCAACATTTTGTTGCTATCTCCACCAAAGATGTCCTGAACCGCGCAAAGTCGACCGACAATTCTTGCTTGGGTTTTAAGCAAAAACATGGTGATATGACCCAACAGGACAATACACACACATATATATATGTACAAAGACTGTGAATGTATGTAAAATGGTATATCACGACTACATCCATGAATTCATTCAAAGTTACATTACATCTGCGCACTCAAATGGTGTAAAAAAACTAAAGCCGCGCACGGGCGCTGCGGGCAACTCAGCGGCCTTGAAATTGACCGTTTTTCATGGCCATCATTGATTGGTCAGCCAAGGCGCCATGATGGCATTGTTTGCCTAGATGCGTATATAAATAAAAATATGTATATAAATATGTACATATATAATATACAACATGTTTTCTCTGTTTATGCACATGAAATACTCTATATATATTAAGATTACGCTAAGCTCTTGTATGTACGTGTCATTATAAAATGCCACCCTGCACTACCGCATTAGCCCCGCGTCCAAGACTTTCTCAAAGGCAGCAGCTGCGCAGAGCTGTGTGGCATTCAAGCCTCCGCTGCTACGTATGGCTATGGGACAGTCCTGAGTCCTTGGGTTTTCCTACAAAACAAATGGTGGGATTACCATGAACCAATATATGGATTTAAGGTGCTTTAAGTGGGAACATGGGAAGTGATGGGATATCTAATCGGATATGTACTGGGATATTACCACCAGCAAGATATCTGTGTTCCCACAAATGGGTTGGATACCATAACATTGGAATTTACTTGCGGAAACTGGTGGTAAATCATGAGACTTGGTGCACCATGCTCGAACAAATCCCTCTGGTGAATCATCTTCAAATGGATATATGAATAACTATGGCATGTTCTATCGCCAAGTTGGGTGTCCAAAGGTAATCCCGAAAAAACCGCCAGGAGATCTAGCAAATTGTGCTGATCGTCCCAAATAGGATGGGAAAACATGGGTAAACCATACATGTAAATATAAAAAATAGCACATTACATACACTTAACATTCCCAACCACCAACCTGCTCCCTCAAAGTATGTAATTATGTATAGGTATACACTATGTATATGTATATATATAAATAAATGTTATATATTTCTGGGTAAATTGTAATATTTCACTAACCTGAATTAAGGCCATTTGGGGATGATTTCCCTTACTAACCATGATTCCAGTGAGGTCACAGTGAGGTCGTTATAATTTACCCAGATATATGCGTATGTGGCATCGGTATCTATGAAAAAAAATCGCCTCAACCCTCCAGATTCCAAAGGCCACCAACTCCGCCATGGCACTTTGTATCGCCGCACTGTTTTTCAACGCAATGGATTCCTTAGCGCCAGAAGATACCCGTGGCACCCACCAGGTTTTTTTTTGTTTGTTCTATTCGTTTTTCCTTAGAGGGTTCAACAGCACCAAATTTTGGTGGTTGAAGGACTTTTTTGGTTGATTTTATAAGGAAAGACAAGCGGTCCTGCCATCTTTGCCGCATTTTTCTGTTTCCTTGCTCAACCAGAACCCTTCAGCGCGGTTGAAGGTGACCACTTGGAGATTAGTAAGTGGCCACTTCAAGGGTTAAGTGAGCTTGACTCAGGGAGTAAAAAGGGCACTTCGTAGTGGTCTGCTGTAAATGTATATATATATATTGGTCTTAAATGATGTTTCTGGTAGGCATCGTGGAATTTTTGACTACCATGTTGGATTGTTCCGGAGGCATTTTGGTCCCCAATATAAGTCTATATATCTGTTGTGAATTGGAATACGGATGGTGCCAATTGTATGAAGCCTTCCCCTCGCCAATTTTTTTCCAGTCACTTTGCGCAGCTGCACCATGTCCACAGCTTCAGGGCCCCCAGGATCGCGGTATGTCGGCAGCTATGTAACACTATGTACAACCGAATTTGAAATGTCCAGATTCTCGAACGGAACCAGCCAGGTTTCACCAGCTTCACCGCAGCCCTCACGGCTCCGGCGCTAACTCGACTGGGATCGGCTTCCTGAGAGTTTACATCATGGAAAGGCCATCACAATTTGGTAACTGGGTAAATGACCACAGTGTAACCCAGCTATATGTGGGATTTACCCCGGCTATACATGGCTTCTGAACCACGCATGCTATTTATCGAAAGGAATAATTGGACAATATACCGCGCACATCGGCAGGCTTTTGTTCTTGCTTGTATCTGAGGATACTTAGTGGGATTAGCGGGTTGTAAATCGCAATGAACAATATACTCCCACTGTGTTCAGTGCAGTGAAACATGTTGCATTACATCATCATGTCCCTCCACATGCCGGTGGGTTTAGAAACCGACTTGCAAGTTGCAACTGATGAATAGCTGCCTAACTACCGGTAGCAGCTTACAAAAATTCACCAATAAATCAATCAATCTATCTATCTACCTATCTGTCTACCTACCTACCTACCTACCTACCTACCTATGTATTTATCTATCTATCTATCTACCTATCTATCAATCAATCTATCTATCTACCTATCATCAGTCTATCAATCTATCAACCTGTCAGTCTAGCACTCTATCGGTCTATCAATCTATCAATCTACCAATCAATCAGCCAATCAGCCAATCAACCAGTCAGCTAATCAACAAATCATCCGTCCATCCATCCATCTATCTATCTATCTCTCTCTCTCTATCTATCTATCTATCTATCTATCAATCTAATCTAATCTAGTCTAGTCCAATCTAATCTAATCTAATCTAATCTTATCTATCTATCTGTCCATCCATCTGTCTATCTAATCAACCAATATCATCTCCATGAAAAACATGCAAGATTTAATTATTTAAAAACCAATCACCTCCAAACAACTGGCAGAACCCCACTGCGCCAAGCCACTTCTCGCCACTTCCCTTCCCCCCTGGCACCGGTGGCCGGGAGGTCAGCGTTGCATTGGCGTCGCGGACAACTTGCTGCGCCAAATCCCGCAGCTGGGCCAAGCGCAGCTTCATCTTGCGGAAACCTGGAAGGTTCGAATATGTTCGAATGATATAAGATTCTAATTGGAATGCACCATGAAAAAAAAACATGCAAAATTGAATTTACGTAGGATTCTTGCAATGGGGTTTGAACGTAGTCCATAATTTGGGTGGTGCCCCAGCTCGCTAGCTTAGTTGGGGTACGAATCTCCGATTGTTGGGTTTATGTTAGATATACCCAGAAAAAGATGCGGGGGAATAGAAACTCACATAAATGGGCTGGGAAGCCCACCTTGAGGTACCATCAGAAATATATATTTTTGGGTTATGGAATGTTCTTTTAGGGTAGGTAGTCAACCTTTTCGACTTTCGTAAAGTGGGATATGATTTCGTTCGTTGAATTCCATGGCCGGAAAAACCACACACACTGGCACACACCATTGATCGACCGTGCCAAAGTTTACCAAGGATGCCACAATAAAGGCACAAACAAAAATAAAGGCACAAAAAAATCGCGTTCCGCCATGTTCTTTTCGCGGTTCATTCAAGAACAATCAGCTAAACCATTGAACAAAAAGGACCACCTCTCACAATTTACCAGCTTGCTATGAAAACAAATAATATATATATATAATTATAATATATCTATCTATCTATCCATCCATCCATCTATCTATCTATCTAGATATTGCAACCAGTTTTTTGATAGGTGAACCATCTACTTTCATGGGCCATCCATACCATAGCTACATCACCACGTTGCGGAAGCTGCATCCGCAGCCCAAGGGACGCTGCAAAGCCCTGCGGTGTAGGAAACGCCGAAGATGTGGCTGGATCACCTTGGAAAACTTATAACATCTTCCTGGTATCAATGGATGCCCTTTTCTATTGGATATGGATTCCCCTAAATGGGATGGGATATCTACATGGATCTCTGATTTGGATATCTAAAAGGCTTTTAAATGGAATTATAGGTGCTTTTGAGTTTTTTGGCATGGACCTGCATGGGATTGGGATTCCCTGTTCATGGGCGGTGAAATTCCCAATCATATTAAATTGATATACCGCACATGGAACAATAGATACTTCTGAGTCATCTTTTTTGATGGATCTAGGTGGGATGGATTTTCTTGCATTGGTCAGTACAGGCCCCGAACATCCCCAAACTAATCATCATCCAACGGGGGTTTTGAACACTGCTCAAATGGATCTAAATGGGATATCTATGGTAATATGTTGGGTCTTCCAGTTTGTTGACTTTTTGCTGGCGGTGACAAAGACTGGAAGCCTCACAGCACATTGAAGAATATTGAATCGGATTTTTTGGAACCCCTTTCGAGGACTCGCATCCACTCAAATCTTTCAACCTTCTGATGAATTCTGATGAAACCTCAAGAAGATAGCATACATTCAAAGGTCAAACATCATTGTACTGAACCCATGGATTTGTTTTCATATCATGTGTTCATGGCTGTGCCAACTTTGGCTGGGGGTTGAATCAGTTGGTTGAGGGATTGCATGACTATTTCACAGCATGCAAATCATACGGATTTACATGCACATCATGGAATCATGTCTGTGTGTCTGTCGATCTGTGTATTGATTTGCATGTGTGAACACAAATTCCAATAAAAGCAGCATATGCACCTGCAGTTGCCTGTAGGCAACCAACTGGCCCATGTGACCTCAACAGTTGCCTGCAGGCAACCCATTTGTAAAATGGTCAGTACTTTGTGGTGAAACAAACGATTCTGCATGTAAAAAATATCATGTTTGCGACTTAAAATCACCATTTGCCCGTGATATAACTGTTAGACCTCTTCCATCGTATACCAATTCGCAGGGTGATGGCTTCACACAGGTTGATGGTATTTCGTAGAACCATCATTCGTGGTGACAACAGCCACATATGTGGCTTCACTACTTAATTTGTGATGTATACCTCAGTTTCCAACAGATCCATATGGTGATTATGGAATGCATATTTATATAAGTATACATATATGTATAAGTATCATTGAGAGAGAGAGATATATATAATATGAAAGATTTCATGGTGGTTGATGATGATTTATTGATTACCTATACATATTATATATATATATATTCATATATATATATATTATATTCATATATATATATACATATCTTATGTGTAAGTGACACTAAGACTGTGACTGGTTGATTGATTACATGATGGTGGATTACTTCAACATGATTCATATTAACATAATACTGGATGATTGATTGGTTACATCATTACATCATACTTGCATGATAATTGTAAAATGATGGTTGGTTGATTACTTAAAGGTTGGTGGGTGATATCTCCCACTGTTCTCCCCTTCCGTCCAAGTCACCACGGCCGCCGCCCAGAACTGTTTGAGCTGGCACCTTGGCCGCCCTGCGCGCAGAGCGGCCTGAAGGCTGCGCAGCGCTGCACGGCGTCGTGCCAACTGATGTGGCAATGGAAGGAAGATGGGCGAGACTTACCGAAGATTACTGGCAATCGCCCATGATTAACTAGTGTAATAATGATACTTGACATTATTGCTATATTGTTGTCTTCTACTAAGTGTTTGGCTAGTATAATAAAATTTTAGTAGCAATCTTATGCCATTTTACCTCAGGGTAATAATCCAACCACTCTGCCCAATAATGGACCCAATGTCATAAAACTACCATCTGGGGATGGTTTATATCACCCATCTATGGTATATTATTGTAGATGGTTTATTTTTGGATTTTTCACATTAGGTATCCTAAGGTAAACTAACATAGATGTGGAAAACCATGGTTTCCCTAGGAAAACGATTTACACATGGTTAGTTTTCCACATCTCGCTTAGTTTACAGGATGGTAAGTGGTATAATAGTCATCTTATAACATCCTAGTATCCCAATATTTCACATTATTTAACTGGGGTATTGTGGGGATACTTTTATCTTCATCTAGCTGGGTAGAAAACTAAGAACCGTACTATATTCTAGTAACTCTAGTAAGATGATTGTCCATAAAATCACATCAATACAGAATATCATAGAATCAACGGAAATATCTTTGGGGATCTTGTTGGATTGGCCCTGGGACTTGAATACTAGAGTAAAACAGTAAAACATTATCTTAATTCCCTTGGGTCTCATGATATAGATTGATATCGTAAATATACCTGACTGGCATAATTAATCAATAGCCATCTTAGAACCTAACATTCAGCTGGAACATGGGATACCCTTAATGCAACTGCGTAAATGATGAGCAATGGCTAATACCCACAGCACGGCTCATTTTAGATGAATAACCACAGCGTTATTTATCAAACCACTTTCGACGCCTGGGATGCACATCCGAGGAAGGAAAGGACACTTGGGTCATTTGCCATATCTTAGATGCCTGGACCCCAAAGAAAACTCAATCTTTAGAGATCTTTAAGATCTTTAGATGGCATGTACATGGTACATCTCCATGGTTCACCTAGGGATGATAATCCCAATTGGCCACCGGGGACTACGCAATATTACGTCAAACACTTGTATGCACCATGGTATGCTCCAAGACCTATAGTATGTAAATAATTCAATCGATTTCAACAATAAATTCTGTACTCTTCAACTTTAAGGGGAAATAGCGAACATGGCATTTTCCCTTGGAACAACGTCCTGTTTCCGACTTTTGCAAAGGAGTGGAAAACATATTGCAGACTTGCATGCGCCGTGATTTTCATGCTTTTCAACACTTATTTTCACCGCAGGAGAATGCCTTTTTGTTTCCCATATCCCGGTCAACCACACGAACTAGGTACACGGCTCACAGGCGGCCGTGAGGAATTCAGCACACCAGCAATGCTGAGCATTTGTTTTTCTGCTGATTTACAGTGGTCAGAGCATTCCAGTCCATTTTGGATCTTTCACGCAGCCGTGCCATTGGTTAAAGCGGCTTCATCTCGTAATTAGATGGGGAAAATATGTTTTTTAGTCATTTTGCAATGCAGTCAAACTATTTGCTTCAGTGGATGAAGCCGTCATTGAAAGTCATGATATTTCTTCAGCAGATCGACAAGGCATGACATCAATTCTTTGGGAGAACACGGCAAAATTGTTTGACGCCACATCCATTGCTGGATCATTGAATGCACACCTTGACTCATTTTGTGATGGCCATTTCTCTTTTCGTATGTCTTCAATTTGAATGGACATTCTTCATTTGAAAAAAAAACGTTTAGACAATAACACATACACATGCCAATGTTGCAAGTAAGAAGACGGCCAGCCAAGAACGTTATCAGCTCCCCCCCAACCCCCCCCAAAGAAACAACAATGCAAAAATCAAGAGTGTCTTGCAAGTGACAAGAAGAAGTTGATAGCGTGTGCCAGGGTACGGTGCAAGAGAAGAGTGGATAGCGTAGCAGCAAGTCCAAGAGATTATCTGGTAAGGCGGGCAGCCAAGAACGTTATCAGCCCCCCAAAACCCCCCAAAACCCACGGCCGTCTATAAGCCGTGGTCCTACTACTTGGCATTGGTTCGCAGTCGCATTTCAAAATAGATATCAGGGGACAAAACCTCCAGCAATTGGTTACTTTGTCTGGAAAGTTCCTGAACAATCTCAACATTTCAGATTTCTTAATGGGACTTTACCTTCTGGATATTTAAGATTGCTATGGAAATCACCAATTTTTAGCTTATTTATGATGACCAGAAGGTAAAGTTTCCACTCTCCAAGCATTTTCGAACCATCCTCAAAGGCCCGCCTCAGCCCGTGCACAGCTGCCGCGCCAGTAGGTGGCAATGCAAATCGCCGCGCAGATCCGGAGCCGCGTCCGCTGCAGGCAATGCAGCGGCCCAAGCACCACGCGCGCCAGCGGACCCCAGGCGCGAAGGGCGCGATACGTCCTGCGTCGTGTAGGTTGTTATAACTTGCTTTCGTAAATGCTTCATCTTACTTGTTGCACCTAGAAAAAAAGAACCCTCAATTGTCACGTTCTGTTGAGATAATGGAACATTATTGTTCTCTCTTTTTGCGAGGTACCATACGTCAAAATCATACTAAATCATGTGGCGATATCATGCATATCATGCTGTAAATGTCGGTTTCATCCTACTTCGTCAGTGGCCACCTGGGGGTGGTTGAGCCCAATAATCTTTGACAGACTTAAGCGGTTCAATTCAGGATGGTTGGAAATCAGTACTATGCCCCGAAGAGCTTGAGATTTTCCGAAACATTGAGGATGATGCTAGGCCCATAAAGAAGGAATGTAGCGCCCAAAATTAGGCTTACACAATCTTACACAACCTTACACACACATGTATGTATGTATGTATGTATGTATGTATGTATGTATGTATGTATGTATGTATGTATGTATGTATGTATGTCTGTGTGTGTGTATGTATGCATGCATGCATGTATGTATGTGTATATATATAAATATATCATATGTTTAATATGTAAATGATCTATATATATATATATAAGTGAAAACATGTATATGTATAGATCATATATGTAAACGTAAACATATGCGTGTGTTAACCTCCATTTAGGTACAAGGAAGAGCCATTGGCTTCACCCATGGCTGGTCCTGTAGGCTGCTCGCCTTCCAAAGATGCCGCGAAACCTTGGTGTCATCTGCGGTTCTCACATGGTCCAAATCAACAGCCCAGGGGTTTTTGTATCAATCGGAGTTGACTTTATCAAACTGTCCGAAAAACTTGGAAAATTGGGTGTGAATATGGAATATAAGTTTGATTTGAAGCATTCACATTCTTTGACCACTCCCTTTTGCCCAATGAGAGCGACTTTTTGAAGCAAGTAATTAAATATTGAGATCTTTGTTGACCTGGTGCGAGTTTGCGCACCATGAAAGCAACGGAAGCGGTGGAGATATTGCTGCAGACGCTTATTCTTAAAGCAACAAAGAACAACAATTTTAATGGTTGGTGGCTCACCTCAGTAGGATGAATAGGGTTAGTCCAGTTGCAACTGGGGTATACTAAATCATAGGTTATAACTTTTATATACCGCCCACTTACCCATGTGAATCACTATATAAGTAATTTGTCAATTGTGGTTCAGATATGAGGCAGCAGAACTGGAAATCCCATATGTAATTTATATGTCATTAAATAGCTTATATCCCATTTATACCCCATAGTATGAACTTGGATCTGCTTCATGCCAAGCGGCCACGACTGCAGTTGCAAGCGTGCAAAGCGACGCCGGCGCAAGGCCCTTAAAGCCATGGACCTCGCGTCGCCCGGATCATCCCATTTAGGATCGTTTAGGATTGGTATCTACCCCATTTGAATCCATTATATACGATTATCCCAATTATCCTATATACATCTCTATACAGTAGTTAGCAACTGGTAAGAAACCCAGGTGAATTAAGTCCCTGACTGGGTTACCCATGGTTATCATAGGGTTATGCCACCATTTGCCAACCAGTAACGATGTCATCACCTCTACTCTCCAAGCAACCGAGGACTCCTCCAGCGGCGTTGCAAGTGCACGCAAACACGAAGCTTCTGGGCCTGGGAGGTGCGTAACTCATCTGGGGTAGAAAATTACCAACGTACTGACACAGTTATGGCCATTTATTAGTTATATATACCTGGTTATTTCTATGGGATTAGACATTCCATAAATAGTTGTGGTGACTTAGTACTTATAATTGTCAAAGGGCCATAACTGCCGGGCGTATTCCGTGATTCCATGATTTTCATCATATTTTTTACCTGGGGTAAAATTTGACTCACTTACGATACAACGTGGATTCACCCCGGGGCATGACATGGAAAAGTGCATGCTCATGTCTGAACATTGTTTTGAAATTACCGTGCATGTCAAACACTGCTGTGTGGCTCATTGCACTTAGTATGTAGGTTAAATCCCTAGCTCTAAGCGGGAGACGGAAGGTTAAACCAAATAGTTTAGTTGCAATCTACTTCCTAAGACCGCCAAGTAATTCAATATTTACAATGAACCATCCCAAATCTTCTCCCCATCTCCATCCCCAAGATCACTCTCGGCTGTCTCGGTGCGTAGCGTTCTCTGAAGCGATGCAAGAGTTGCAGTCCCATGGGGCGGAAATGGTTCAGCACCTAGCGCTGGATACCATTTTTGTCACCGGCCACAGACTTGGTGTTTTGGAGGACTATGCTCCATAGGACTGGGTTGTAATTACAATCATACATATGTGAACACATCCATGCGTACATATTTATTCGTATGTGATATTTATAACCATGGTTCATGAAGTACTTGCTCTAACTGGGAGGCACAACCAATCAGCAAATGCTGAGCGGATGCTTTGGTTTTTGTTTTTTTTTCGAATCCTGGATGTGTCTATCAGGATGCCGAACACACAACCCGAACCAACCAGATGGGTCCTCACAGAACGGTGCAAACTTGCCAATCAATGGGTGAATGGTGGGCGTAATTTTATTCAGAGTAGAGGTGCGCTCAATGAATATGGGATCACACCCCCAAAAATTGACGAAAAGCAAGCTTTAAATAAAAAAACTGGGAATGCAACCGCTGTCAGTTGCTTATCAAAAACTAATTACATCTAATTGCTCAATACTCATCGAAAAATGAGCACAAACTCCAACACAACAATCGTTGGATTCAATGAAATCAACGACTTTTGTCATGAAAACCGCCCAGGCACATCCAACCTTTTATGGTTTTAAAGCGGCTGAACCATGTCAAACTCCCCGCCTTGGCTTCCTCCAGGCGCAGCTCCATGGCCGAGAAGGGCGCCCTTCTCGCCGCCGCCTTCCGCCAGTCTGTGAGCTCTGTGGCCAGGTGGAGCAACTGCTGGACCTGGAGGTGAGACAATGAAATCACCTAGTTTTGATCATTGGAAATCATCAAGACATGGGAAATCATTGGAAATCCTGGATTCCTAAGATTAGCTGATGTGATTTCAAACAAAAGAAGATTGGAGAACAACTAATGATCAAAAAGGATATCTGAGGGATAAAACAAACTCAATTTGCTTTTGAACGACGTAACCTTCGAGGTGAAACAAACCAAGATTGGGAATTTACCAGTTTTGGGGTACAAAAGCAAAAAATAAATTTGATGCGCGGAAACTAAGATTTGACGTGATTCCAACGGCAGCAAATCATAGTAACTATCCAGCTTTTGACAACATATCTATAACCATGTATTTAGCAGCAACCTAAGTGATATTTTCCAAGCAAAATGGGAGCTGAACATATCTAATATCTAATATCTAAATCTATTTCCATATCTATACCTATCCTATCTATCTATCTTTCTATCTATCTATCCATCCATCTATCTATCTATTTATCTATCTACCTATCTATCTATCTATCTATCTTTCTTTCTTGTCTTTCTTGTCTTTCTTGTCTTTCTTGTCTTTCTTTCTTTCTTTCTTTCTCATCTATCTAATCTATCTATCTACCTATCTAATCTAACCTAATCTATCCTATCTTATCTTGTCGTATCTTATCTAATCAAACTAATATATCTAATCAAACTAATCTATCTCATCTATCTGTCTGTCTACCGATCTATCTGTCTATCCATCTATCTATCTGTCTGTCTATCTATCTACCTATCTATCTGTCTGTCTAGAGAGATATCTATCTATCTGTCTTTCTGTCTATCCAGCTACCTATCTATCGATCTATCTATCTGTCTACCTAACCTAACCTAACTTAATCTAATCTGACCTATCTAATCTATCAAACCTATCTAATCAATCTCATCAATCTCATCAATCTAATCAATCTAGTCTATCTAGTCTATCTAGTGTATCTAGGCTATCTAGTCTATCTATCCTATCTATCCTATCTATCTATCTTATCTTATCTTATCTTATCTATCTTATCTATCTTATCTATCGTATCTATCTTATCTATCTTATCTATCTTATCTATCTTATCTATCTTATCTACCTTATCTACCTTATCTACCTTATCTACCTTATCTACCTTATCTACCTTATCTATCTTATCTATCTTATCTATCTTATCTATCTTATCTATCTTATCTATCTTATCTATCTTATCTATCTTATCTATCTTATCTATCTTATCTATCCTTTCTATCTTATCTACCTTATCTATCTTGTCTATCTTATCTATCTTATCTATCTTATCTATCTTATCTATCTTATCTATCTTATCTATCTTATCTATCTTATCTATCTTATCTACCTTATCTATCTTATCTACCTTATCTATCTTATCTATCTTATCTATCTATCTATCTATCTACCTATCTATCTATCTATCGATCTATCGATCTATCGATCTATCGATCTATCGATCGATCTATCTATCTATCTATCTATCTTATCTATCCATCTATCTATCTATCTATCTATCTATCTATCTATGTATCTGTCTATATTATCTTATATCCTCTGGTAATCCCAGCTGGCAATGGGAACCCGGACATCTTGACAGGCCAATCACCTACAAATCAGGATGTTCCATTGTCAGGTTGGGTAATTTTTAACTTTAGGTACTTTAGGTGGTTTTCTCATAGAACTTGAGCGACCAAGCATAGGTGTTAGCATGTGTTCACCAAGAAACATGAACGTTTTCACCAAACAAAAACAGACTTTTCCCATGGTTCATGGGATCTACCCTTTTAATAGCTTAGGGTCATCGCATGATGATACGACAGCTCCACACAAATCAAGTGGCTTTCCTCGTCGCAAATTCTGAGAAAAGAACCAGCGCTTGCAATGTACAACAGCAATGTGCGTGTGTAAATGTAAATGTATATATATATACACATATTTCACTGGGCAACCATTCCGCCTAACTACTGTTTATATGTGCCTGTTTATATAGTTAACATAATTGCACCCGTAACATGTCTGGGACTCATCCGATCTATACACGGGGAAACCAACCATATATAGTTATCAATCAATCTTGTCATACCAGCCGGGGATGCCTCCTCGTTGAGCTTCGGTTGTGCGGAAGAGTCCAGCGACTCAGGTGGCTGAACCTGCGGCCGGCCAGTTGATCGGAGCCAAAATTGCCACTGTGCAACTGCATGATGCTTGCCAAATTTTCTCGGAAAGCTTCGTTTTGATTAGGGGACACCGGCCGGCGGATTGTAAAAGGTGATCAAACAAACACCAAAGAAACGTAGGAAATATATCAAAATATTTGGAAATATATAAACCCCCAAACTCTTTACATCTCAGTAGTTGCTATTATCTGTTATCGTTTTCTGGCAGGGGCCATATCGCTGTCCAGCGTTTTATGCCACTATTGTTTTTTGGGGCCTATCTCTTTACAGTGTTTCGTGCGCATCTCTGACAAAAGTGCTTCTGCAATACTACAGTGGTCTTCTATAATTTTGACAGAACTCATACAGGCATATAATGTATGGGTGCTGGTTGGTGGTTTCAACCCCTCTGGAAAATATTAGTCAGTTGGGATGATTATTCCCAATATATGGAAAAATGTTCCAGACCACCAACCAGGGGTGAATGGGTGTCACCTAGTACCTGGTGGTGCTCGTGGATACACGTTGCCTCTGAATTGGTCCCAAAAGCACTGGCCTGGTCTCAAAAGGGCAAGCAATTTGTGCGGAAATGAAATCTCCACCGAAAAGTGGCCGAAAAGAAATGAAACATGATTTTAAGCCATGGGCTATTGGGATACCCCATTCTCAAACAAACTTCCCTGAAATTGAGAACCACAAAACCATCCGAAGTGTGTTGTTTTCTCGGAACATTTTGGAAACCCACTAATTCTGAGGTAGTACGACCTTATTTAAATGTGAAACCTTCAGCCATGAAGGCCAATGGCCCCAAAATTCATCACCTTGAAGCATGGCTTGTCCATGGGCCATCTTGGGCTATCCCCCTCACCTCATCTTGGTCGCTCGGGAACGGCATTAGCTTTTCCCAGGCGCCTGCGGGACATGGCCTGAGAAAACAACAGATTTGAGCTGCAAAAGATGTATCATAAGCACCAAGAAAGATGGAAGAGTGGGACAAAACATTTGGGAAAATGAGACACATATAATCCACAACATCATGGGATCACAGTTTTCGGCATCTTTTTGGGAGTTGCTATAAAAAAGGATTCCAAGTGGGATTTGTTCCATGTGTTGATTTCACAGCTCAGCACCCACAAAACGCCAAGACTCTCCGGCAGCGGCCGCCAGTGCCTCACCAGTGGTGGACATGTTGCTGAGACCGAGTCTGGTGGAGGTCCTGCGTCTGGTGGAGGTCCTGCTGGTTGCGCAGGAGCTCATGGGACGTTGGAGCAGTTGGGCCCCATAGTTTGAACAAAACACATATGGAAGGCTTCAGTTTCCATTTTTTGCGTTGCTCAAACCAATACTTGGCACTTAGTAAGCAGGTTAGCTCACCCCAGTTAAAAATGGATTATGTAATTTGATTATACTGAATTCACTGTTTGCCAGAGATATAACATTCGTATTCAAAGATAATTGAAACCACCAAGAAGTTGGTATATTATAAGTAATTAGCGAATGGCTCGGCGTTTGCAAAATCCATGAAAGATACCCACTGGGTATTTGACATAGTCACATACTTATGGAAAATGGTTCGTTTATAATGATTTACCTAGTACACATGGTGATTCTTCTGCAGCCGTAGTAAATACCAATCAACAAGCCATCAAGAATATCTTGGATGATGCCTGTGTCAGTCCGTCGAAAATGGTGTGTTCTTATTTTTCTCTCCCCAGACACGAAGGTGACTTACCGCCATCAGAAACTGTTTTCAACCCAAAGCACCGAAAAAACTAGAACGACGGTTGGCCCGAGAGCGAAAAAGATGTTTTTCAAGCAGCTCTGAGGATGGTAGTCGTAAAAGATAGTCGGTGAATGGTTGGTGAATTTTTATGAGCTATGGAGGGATAAGGTGTGAAAAGTAAGCTTGATTAAGAAGAGGATATTTGGTAAAGGGCATCAGATGACACGTGTCTTGCAACCACAGAGAGACATAGATAGAGAGAGAGAGAGGGAAACGGAGAGAGAGAAAGAGGGAGAGGGTGAGAGAGAGAGAGAGAGAGAAAGAGAGAGAGAGAGAGAGAGAAAGAGAGAGAGATAGAGAGAGAAAGAGGGGGAGAGAGAGAGAGAGAGAGACAGAGAGAGAGAGAGAGAGAAGGAAAGGGAGATAGAAAGAAAACATGGAGAAATATAATGTGAGCAACAAAAGTGCACAGGAGGCTCGGTACCATGATGCTGCGAATGACATGTGTTATCTCATTTTACTACGGTAATTCCTACACACATTGCCGAAAAAGCTCGGTACCATCATTCCTCGGATGTGAAGAAACGCGACGCTCTTATACAGAGACGCTTTTACACGCAGAAGCTTTTACACACAGATGCTTTTACACACAGCAGCTTTTACACACAGACACTTTTACACACAGACGCTTTTACACACAGAGGCTTTTACACACAGACTCCTTTACACACAGACCATTTTACACACAGACTACTTTACACACAGACGCTTTTACACACAGACACTTTTACACACAGACCATTTTACACACAGACACTTTTACACACAGATCATTTTACACACAGAAGCTTTTACACACAGAAGCTTTTACACACAGACTCCTTTGCACACAGACGCTTTTACACACAGACTACTTTACACACAGACGCTTTTACACACAGACACTTTTACACACAGACCATTTTACACACAGACACTTTTACACACAGATCATTTTACACACAGAAGCTTTTACACACAGACTCCTTTGCACACAGACGCTTTTACACACAGACTCCTTTACACACAGAAACTTTTACACACAGACTCCTTTACACACAGGAGCTTTTACACACAGACACTTTTACACACAGACCATTTTACACACAGAGGCTTTTACACACAGACTCCTTTACACACAGACCATTTTACACACAGACCTTTACACACAGACGCTTTTACACACAGACACTTTTACACACAGCTTTTACACACAGACACTTTTACACACAGACCATTTTACACACAGAGGCTTTTACACACAGACTCCTTTACACACAGACCATTTTACACACAGACTACTTTACACACAGACGCTTTTACACACAGACACTTTTACACACAGACCATTTTACACACAGACACTTTTACACACAGATCATTTTACACACAGAAGCTTTTACACACAGAAGCTTTTACACACAGACTCCTTTGCACACAGACGCTTTTACACACAGACTCCTTTACACACAGAAACTTTTACACACAGACTCCTTTACACACAGACGCTTTTACACACAGACACTTTTACACACAGACCATTTTACACACAGAGGCTTTTACACACAGACACTTTTACACACAGACCATTTTACACACAGACACTTTTACACACAGATCATTTTACACACAGAAGCTTTTACACACAGAAGCTTTTACACACAGACTCCTTTGGACACAGACGTTTTTACACACAGACTCCTTTACACACAGAAACTTTTACACACAGACTCCTTTACACACAGACGCTTTTACACACAGACACTTTTACACACAGACCATTTTACACACAGAGGCTTTTACACACAGACTCCTTTACACACAGACGCTTTTACACACAGAGGCTTTTACACACAGACTCCTTTACACACAGACGCTTTTACACACAAAAGCTTCTACACACAGAAGCTTTTACACACAGACTCCTTTACACACAGACGCTTTTACACACAGACGCTTTTACACACAGACACTCTTACACACAGACCGTATTACACACAGACACTTTTACACACAGAAGCTTGTAAACACAGAAGCTTTTACACACAGAAGCTTTTACACACAGACTCCTTTACACACAGACGCTTTTACACACAGACACTTTTACACACAGATGCTTTTACACACAGACTCCTTTACACACAGACGCTTTTACACACAGACACTTTTACACACAGACTCCTTTACACACAGACGCTTTTACACACAGAGGCTTTTACACACAGACCATTTTACACAGAGACACTTTTACACACAGAAGCTTTAAACACAGAAGCTTTTACACACAGAAGCTTTTACACACAGACTCCTTTACACACAGACGCTTTTACACACAGACACTTTTAAACACAGACCCCTTTACACACAGACGCTTTTACACACAGACACTTTTACACACAGACCATTTTACACACAGACACTTTTACACACAGAGGCTTTTACACACAGACTCCTTTACACACAGACGCTTTTACACACAGACTACTTTACACACAGACTCCCTTACACACAGACGCTTTTACACACAGACTCCTTTACACACAGACGCTTTTAAACACAGACACTTTTACACACAGATCATTTTACAAACAGACCATTTTACACACAGACCATTTTACACACAGACCATTTTGCACACAGAAGCATTTAAACAAAGAAGCTTCTACAAACATAAGCTTTTACACACAGAGGCTTTTACACACAGACTCCTTTACACACAGACGCTTTTACACACAGAGGCTTTTACACACAGACCATTTTACACAGAGACACTTTTACACACAGAAGCTTTAAACACAGAAGCTTTTACACACAGAAGCTTTTACACACAGACTCCTTTACACACAGACGCTTTTACACACAGACACTTTTAAACACAGACCCCTTTACACACAGACCATTTTACACACAGACACTTTTACACACAGATCATTTTACACACAGAAGCTTTTACACACAGAAGCTTTTACACACAGACTCCTTTGCACACAGACGCTTTTACACACAGACTCCTTTACACACAGAAACTTTTACACACAGACACTTTCACACACAGACGCTTTTACACACAGACACTTTTACACACAGAGACCGGACCCGTGAAATCGCAATTTTACTGCAGTTTTTGACGTTCAACGTCCATTTCGTGCGAAAAGGTTGCCCGTGACACCTCAAAATCGCAATTTTACCTCAGTTTTTGACGTCCAACGTCCATTTCGTGTGAAAGGGTTGCGATGGACACCTCAAAATCGCAATTTTACGTCAGTTTTTGACGTCCAACATCCATTTCGTGCGAAAGGGTTGCGATGGGACAAGTTAAATCGCAATTTTACTTCAGTTTTTGACGTCCAACGTCCATTTCGTGCGAAAAAGTTGCATTTGACTAACTCAAATCGCAATTTTACCTCAGTTTTTGACGTCCAACGTCCATTTCGTGCGAAAGGGTTGCATTTGACTAACTAAAATCGCAATTTTACATCAGTTTTTGACGTCCAACGTCCATTTCGTGCGAAAAAGTTGCATTTGACTAACTCAAATCGCAATTTTACCTCAGTTTTTGACGTCCAACGTCCATTTCGTGCGAAAGGGTTGCGATGGGACAAGTTAAATCGCAATTTTACTTCAGTTTTTGACGTCCAACGTCCATTTCGTGCGAAAAAGTTGCATTTGACTAACTCAAATCGCAATTTTACCTCAGTTTTTGACGTCCAACGTCCATTTCGTGCGAAAGGGTTGCATTTGACTAACTAAAATCGCAATTTTACATCAGTTTTTGACGTCCAACGTCCATTTCGTGCGAAAAAGTTGCATTTGACTAACTAAAATTGCAATTTTACCTCAGTTTTTGACGTCCAACGTCCATTTCGTGCGAAAGGGTTGCGTTTCGTGGCGCTCCGGCGGCACCGCCCCCGCCTTAAGAGAGAGATAGAAAGAAGAGCGAGAGGAGATGTGCAGATGTGAAGGTGTGAAGATGTAGATCTGCAGATGTGAGGGTGTGAAGATGTAGATCAGCAGGTGTGAGGGTGTGAAGATGTAGATCTGCAGATGTGAGGGTGTGAAGATGTAGATCTGCAGTTGTGAGGGTGTGAAGATGTAGATCAGCAGATGTGAGGGTGTGAAGATGTAGATCAGCAGATGTGAGGGTGTGAAGATGTAGATCAGCAGATGTGAAGGTGTGAAGATGTAGATCAGCAGATGTGAGGGTGCGAAGATGTAGATCAGCAGGTGTGAGGGTGTGAAGATGTAGATCAGCAAATGTGAGGGTGTGAAGATGTAGATCAGCAGGTGTGAGGGTGTGAAGATGTATTACAACGGCTACTTTTTTACGAAGAACCCTTCGCAGGCGCTCTCGGGAAATAAAGGGTGAAGGGACTATATAATCTGCCCAATCTTGAAAGGGGTTCTGGGCTCCAAACCTGGCGATGTACTATGGATACCCATGGGGAGACAAAGCAAAAGTAACCGGGAAAAAACTTCTGTTGGTTGGTGATCAGTCCTGCCCTGCCCTATTCTTATTGGCCCATCCTGGGGTGAATGTAGTCTCCCCTACCCACCAGCCATATACCCGTATGCCTCAAACATACAGTAGCAATTGCAACAGGTGTCAACTATTGGAAACATTGGGCTACATGCGAAGGGTCAAATTCTCAAGTCGTCAATAATTAATTGCCCTTGAATTCAACTTGCATGGCCCACACGAAACCCCCAAACACCTACTCAGCTCCTGCTGTTGCTGCTGGTGTTGGTGCTGGTGCCTTGATTCTTTGCATCACCAATTGCACCTCCAAAGCCCAGGGCAAGATGTCTCATGCCCCAGAAAGTGGAACAGACATAGGGAAATACCGTTCATCCACTTAGTAGCTACGTGTTGACCATGGTCAGTCTCCTTTTCACGGACAACCAAAGCAATCAGGGACTTACCAAGGCGGGGTTGCGAACTATTTGTGAAATGGGGTGCGCACACATGCTGGTTGAAATAGGTTGCACGATCATTTTGGCGAGCCAATGGTTTTTCAAAAACCCATGTCGTCTTTTTCCGGAATAGGCTGTCTGCCATGTTGCTATGAAATACCGAGTTCGCAAGACAAAATCTGTTTAACATGAGGACAAAAAACGATCAATATTGTTTTTGAGTAATGGCTAATCGCAACCTTCTATATCCCGATAAAAACATATAATTAGTTTCGAATGGGACATTCCTCTGCCCAAATGCACAGCAGAACACATAAATTGGCCATGCACCTTGGTTTCCCAGAAAAACACCCTAACGCAAATCTAGAATGACCGAGCATTCATCCATTAACCAACCCAATAGTTCTGGCCCTTTACCAGTTATAAGTACTTAAAACCCCATTTATGGAATGTATAATACCATAGAAATAACCAGGTATAACTAATAAATGACCATAACTGAATGAAGGTCTAGTTGAAAACTTGTCCCTCGAGCTATTTAAGTTCTGCCACTGTCTGATGACCCCCGGCCTGCGCTCCAGCTAGCAAATGCACACCGGGAGCTGAGCCTGTGGATATGTGGCCTTCACTTCTTACATTGCCCACTTAGTTGTCTGAGAACGGGTTGGATAAGAAACCAAGAAAATTTAATGGCAATCTTAATCAACGAAAATGTGATAATTAATAAACTTAACCTTGAAATTTGGTGCACCCTAAATTTTACACCTACCCATTTTGGCTTGGATCACTTGTACAATGTTTTTATGGTCTGGGTCAGCATGGTCGCTCCAATTTTGTGCTTCTACATGTTTAGCCTTGGGTTTCACAGAAAGGTTCCGACTGCCTCTTCCAAAGTTCCATGGCACATAATCATCATCCCTACTCTCTGGTATCATTGTTTTTTTGCTACCGCCGCCCGCGGCGGACTCGGTGAATTTGCTGTTTTATACACTTCAACAAGTTTCATGCGCAATCATACACACGTCTTCTTCACATGACTACACACGTCTTTTCACATGATTTCACATACCTTCGGCTGGGATGTGGGGGTGTGCTAATGTCTCTGTGCTTGCTCACATCTTTGATATTCTTTTTGATGCTAATTATGCTCCATACGGCTTCTTCGCATGATTTCACATACCTTCGGGTGGCGTGGGGGGTGTGGGAACGTCTCTGAGCTTGCCAACACATCTTTGATGCTACGCTCCACATGTCTTCTTTACTTGATCGCACATACCTTCGGGTGGTGTGGGGGGGGTGTGGTAACGTCTTTGTGCACCTGCTCACATCTTTGATGCTACGCTCCACACGTGTTCTTCATGATTTCACATACCTTCGGGTACCACAGAAAGAATGTGAAGAACAAACTTTTGAATGCTGAGATCTGGAACTATGTCTACCAATGGCAATGGCGTTATAATCGTCGCCGTGCCTTGTAGCAAATGGTTCCCAAGGTTCTCAAAGAGTTTTGCAAATGAGACGTTGCACTTGCAAGCGGCAAAGGTAAAAAGGGCCGAGTCCGCTACGGGCGGCGGTACCTTGTTTTTCCTCATGAAGCCTCTATTTAGCTTCCGAATTTTCTAGCCGGCCATGTTTGATTACCGGAAGGTAAATCCATTAGTATCCCATTATTCCATTATTATCCCTAGTAAACAATGAAAAAACATCGTGCTACCATAACTACCATAAACACCTTCCCTTTCTGCGCATTTTCATGTTCAAAAATGTTCAATAGCCAAAGCCATCACGGCTCGCTCGCTCGCTCGCTCGCGCTCTCTCTCTCTCTCTCTCGCTGTCAGGCCTCGCCCGAGTTGCGCCCCAAGACGGGCTGCCAGCAGCGTCACCGGACACGCCCCAGCCACCACGAAGTCGGCGATGAGTTGGCTGCCGGTGTGGTCTAAGCCTTGGAGATGATGCGACCATGACCACACGGGGTTTTCGAAAATGAGGGTACCCGCAAGTCATCCAAGTCGCGAGATCATTTTAATATTTAAACCTATGTCTTGGGGGTCACCTATTTTAAAAAACAACTATATTGAGATTTAATTAATGTTTACTGGGTTTTGTTCCAAGCTGACCTATGTTTCAAACCGGCGCCTATAGGCCACGTGAGCAACAGCGTGAGAGTTTACAAATAAGATTTTCAATTGTTTTGTTTGGCGATCTACTGGGATGATCCAACAGGATGGGGTCCATCTTTGATGATGACTTGGATGTTCCCTGAGCGCGCTACACTGCACCGCAAGCATCCAACCACTTTCCAACAAACTGTTTACTTCAGGAGCATCCAGGCAAAATTCCATCAACAAAACAAACAAGTGATTAAACAGCATCCAGCACTATGCAAGCTGCAGTTAGCCTGGCTGGCTGGTCTCTTCATATAATAGACTGGCTGGTCTCTTCAAGTGCGTTTGCCGGAAGTTTTGGTCTACCCAGTAGGACAACTGGACATCTTTAAAAAATCCCCTTTCAACTAATGAAAGCAAACAACAAACCATTGACTCTAGAGGCACATGATGGCATATTGGTTTGTCTGAAAAATAAAGAAAATATAATACACTACGGTATGCCCAAATTTTGATGGATTAAAGCGTCATGATCCTCAACAAAAAGTTGCCCTTTCGGGTTATCCAACATGCTTCAAAAATTCCAAATCCGATAATTCGTTTTTGCCTACTATATCCCAACAGTATCGCCATAGAAATTGCCATCCTGGGGCATACCGCAATATAGATATAAACATACAGTATATACACACATTTGTATATATATATATATATGTTATAGACTATATAGGTATAAATAAAATAAAAATATATATGTATATATATATGTATACATACATGAATTGTATTATTGAAAGTGAAACTCCAAGCGGCTCAGGAGTTGAATTGATTCAATCGGCTGCAAAGTCACCTCTGCCACTTCGCCTGACACGATGGAAATATTACAGCATGATGTGATTTAAAAGAGATCCGTGATTCTATACACAAAAACAAAGATTGACCAGCAACCACGCACAGGATAGAGCCAAAGATCCAATAAAGAGCCAATAAAGCAAACAGGATAGAGCCAAAGATCCAATAAAGCAAACATAGTAATTACACCAAACCAAGTTGCTTGGACAAAAGGCAATCAAGAAACGTTTTGTCAACCTTGCAAAGGAACACAAATTCTCCAATAATCACATCATACATCATCATACTGCTTCCGACTTAGATGACCCAGCAGTCAGCGTCACCCCATCGCTTGCATGATGTGGGTTTTGTGGAACGGGAAACTCAGCCTGCGCAGCAATATGTGTCTTGAATGGCTTCATGACCAAGGATTTCACATCAAAGCGTTAGCCTTCAGGGACCCAAACCATGACTGTACTCAACAGTGACGCATTCTCTATTCAACAAATTTTCTGGCAGTTTATACACGCCTCAATGCAAGTCCGCCATTGGATGTCACGTGGTGGCTGCTCATGGTTGCCATACGTGATGTGCATCTAGTTGCTCTTGTCAACCATGGTTTTTTGATGTCATGAGCCGATATGAGAGGGACAAACCCCACTTACAAAAGTCAAACATTATAGCAACCGCAAAAGGATAGACATGTGAGAACCCTGGGAATATTGTTAACATCAACTACTATTTAAAAACTAAAACATCCTGGAAACACTTTTCGGCATCTTTTTTGCGGGAGATATTGTGTATAAAATCCCATTATGTACATATTATCTTTCATTATTTCCTGATAGTTTCCATTAAACCCAGCCATATATCCCATTAAATCAGTACCAATTGTGATTCCAGGGCTGCGCCTTCCAAGGCTCTGCAGTAGCTCCTCACATCCTGCGGAATCTTCGCCGGCAGCAAGAGCCGCAGCACCCGGCGCGGCGCAGCAGGCGGCCTGAGGCCACAGGTCGGTCCCCACAAATCTGGGAATCAATTGTAAAGGGAAATATGATGGGGTTAAATATTTTATATGGTGTAAACATATATATATATATACCTATGGATTTATTTAACATAATGGGAATTATAAACTAACCTAAGTTGTTTAAATATAAGTTAAAAAACAAGTAATTGTAATCTAAACAGACAAATAATTGCAAAAATACGCTACCAGTAACGGGGATGATAATGAGAATTACCGGGTTTCTATCGGATAATAATGACAATAGAAGACGTAATCGTTGGATATCTCGTCAAGTATCTTGAGATTAAAAGGGGTAATACTAATTATAATATCATTTTATGAAATCTGCGCTTTTAAACGCAAGAACAACACTGCGATATAACATAAAACACATATAAGCGCCCAACAGTGCTTCCAGGATGTTAGTTCCATGACATCTTTCGGCACCTTGTTGGGGCTTGATATAGAAAGGTATGATGCATGGCAGTAGATGACTCATCATTCACACGATAGACGACTTTCGGTTGACATCGTTGGTTTTTGGGATGCAGTTTGATGTCTGGCTAGGTTGGTATGTCAACTTCTGGTGATACTGAAGCACTCCAATCCACTTCGGGTCCGTCACAAAAATGGCACCTTTTACTGATTTTCCTTGGGGGTGACTATCCGGAACGAAACGGAGCATGTCCGCCCAGCCTCTGGTCGTCCATGTTTGCGCAGCGCCATCGGGCTGGGGCACTTGGAAGTTGTAAGCGTTTGTAAGTGGCTATAGCAACCTGAAAAGTACAGAAAGGTGAGGCACCACTATTCTATCACAATAAATTTGCTTTTCTATGTCTTTCTTTTTTTAAAGGTTGCAGCACACTTAGTACAAGAAGCTTCACATTGCACATCAGTTGTCGCTTCGGCTTCATTCATGTTTTTTCAAACATATTCAATCTTTCATCCGCCTGAGTGCGGTTACCACGCGCTTGGGTTTGCCTGGAAACAGGATACCCTTGAATTTTGTTGGTTTGCAATTTGAGGGGTGTGCCAATAAATCCTATTTCGGACACACCCATGTAGCAATGAGAAAATGTCCTCTGATTCTGCTATGCGCGTCTCTTCTTCCCCGGCTCGACTTTTCGATTGGAGCCTGGTGAATGAAGATTCTCAGGCCTGATGCATGTGTTTGAACTTAAACGTGAAGGTGCCTAGTCCTCAAAGCCATCCTTGGATGTGCACCCCAGGTAGTAAAATAATTCCAAAAGACAAATGTAGTTTTACCTCCTTGATGATTGGGTCACCCAAAAACCGTGTCTTCTATCGATCGGCACACAGTACCAACTGAGATGCACGCAATTGTTTTCTACGCCCCTGTTCAGCATCATCCTTACCCATCCACCAAAAAAAGGCTCATTGAGAAGGGCACTTGCCCGGCTTGCAATTTGCCGCAGATACCCTGGTAGTGATGATAGATGGGGGAAGACGAAGTGACATCAGTGAAGCACCTGAACTTCAGTTCCGTTTAAATATTCCTCCCGCGCATTCTTTTTGTGCATAATGTATATGCGCAGCATTGCAAATGAAACTGCATTTGGGGACCGCCAGGGTTGGTATCGATAGTGGATTCCTGGCATCGTGGCCAAGTTCCCAGGTTGAACACGTATCTACAAGACTACCCGGTGGTTTTGAACGCAGCCCAAATCGTAGTGCTAAGCCAGACTGATTATACAACGAACGAGCACGTCCGGCCCGACCCTCAACATGCACCCTATAGAGCTTGCACAACTAATGTGGCAGACCCACTGATAAACCATCCGCAACTGGGGTTCATTATTGGGTTTAACACATCTATGTTATAAAGCAGCAATAGTTAATCCCGAAATTTACCATGCATGGGCGGTATAAACCATGATAATATGGATGGTTTTTCTTTACCAAACTACGGATACCACTGTTCAACCACAAAATGTAACCACCAAAAGGATAACGTCACATTGAGGACTCGGCTGCCATGGCAGTGGCTTGCCTTGGATCGTGGAATTCACCGCGCTTAAGATATGGGCTACTCAAGCATGGAGATTTCATTCACTAACGAAAAGTGATCTACTTGGAAAAAGTGGTGATTGACTTAGGAAGGTTGTGATTGAAACAGCACATGGCGATTCAACCTGCAAATGTGGCGATCTAATCAGCAAACACGGTGATTCAACCAGAACACATGCTGATTTATCTGATTTAACCAGCAAACATTGTGATTGAACCAGCGGAAGTGGTTTAACTGGAAAACATGTGCCATACGTGGATGAAATACATCAGCATATGCAAAAAAGACATCACATAGATATGTTCAACCAATGGCCGTCTTGGTGCCTTTTGGCTCCGTTTCGTGCCGCTGTTTTTTGCAGGTGCCATCCTGCCACTTTGCCGCGGTAGATTCGATATGTGTGGATGCTTTTGTGACCCTCACCACTATCCACTTCCTTTTTCCAGCTCCTCAGCCCCCTTCTTAATCCAGGAAGCGAGAGTTTGGAGGTTGTCATCTTTTGGTAGGCACTTCATTTGTTGTCTTTATATCCAAGACTTTGCTTGTATGATACAAACATGTCCCCAAATATATATATATATAATGATAAACATATCATTCTACATAAATATCTATCATATTGCAGCCACCTCACTTCAAGGTCATTTTCGTTAAGCGAAATTTAACAAAACTTTGAAGAACCATTTCCTGCTGCTGACCGACATGGCGGAGGTCAGGTTTAAATCGCCATGGTGGTCCATGGTAGGCCGACAACTTGGGGCATACTTTTAGCATTGATTGTGGCAATGTGGCGCAAAGAGCCTTGCAGCCTGTATGTGATTGCAGCAAGATTCTCTTAGGCTCTTCACCTCTTGCCACCCCCAGGCAACAACTTTTGTATTGCAAAACACAATTAGGGAATGATCAACAAATACAAAGAATGCATGTCAACAACCCTTATCAACAACTTGCTCGTCAATCTTACCGTTTTATCCCCTAAGTTGAGATCACAAGAATCCCGCTAGTGTGCCCTGATGCTATTTGCCACGAAGTTTTTGCCGAGATACTGGCTCCTGACTTGCACATAACGTTGGGCCTGGATCACCTGCAATCTCCACAATTTCAAAAGAACATCGTCTATAAAAGGAAATTGTCACCTTCTGTTACTGTTAACCAAACATAGGAGAACATAGGGAAACCCATTTTAGTTTAAATATGCTAAATAGGAAAATCATCTACAAACGGGCCATTTACCAGAGCATACCAGAGCTATGTTAGATTGCCAGAGGGTGCTAGCTCTGCACTATGGGTAGTTACAGTAGAAGGAAAACATCTTGACCAATTTAGGGTCTCGGATGTCCACTGCTGGATTCATGGGCACACCATATCTGTGTCCAAACTCCCAACATCTCCCAGCATCTCCCAACTTGTTGGCACAGGTTGTGGAAATTTGCAGGCCATCACCCCTTCATACCATATGCCCGGCAGCATGCAAATCGCCCACCGTGCCTCCGTCTCAAACCTTGGGTGTGCAGGACTTGGGTCATGAAGGAGGTTTTAAATGCTGGCATGACCAACAATATCAGTCTATCTCTTGGTCATGCTCAACAAAAAATGCGCCCCCCCGAAAAATAGACCCCATACATCAATTGAACCAGAGATTCCTTTAGGACATATACTTCTTGTTGCCCGGGTAAGGGATCCATCGGACCTCGGGAGAAATCAGACACCATCCCAAAACCCCAGGCAAGCGTATATATATATATGTGTACATATGTGTACATAATTGCACATCCCACTATCATTCCGAAAAAAACAAATCTCCATGCACCCATAGCATGCTCCAATTGAAACCGCAATTCTAGGGAAACCTAAGCCCACTTCCCCATAGTTCATCACAGCCAGCTGCTACCAAGATGCTCCACTTTCCTGCGCAAGCCGGTGGATGAATTGACATTGGGACGGACGAATCGCAACAGGAGATCTACAGACTACACCAACTGAAACAAGGACCTTTCGTCATACTTACCGCAATCCTGATCATTATTCCAATAATGTCGCAATGGGGTTGACAGAATCTACCCAGATAGATTCTCACTTAGTATATAGCCTATGAAATCGCTGGTGAAATTCTACAAACTACTCGGCGACTTCATATTGTTAACCCGCTTAGGGATGCTCCCCCAAATATTATTATTTTTGATGTCGCAGAATTGGTGCAGGATGTCGTTCTGACAACTTTATGGTTGAAAATTTTCGACCCCGGGGATGTCCAGCCAAATCATCACCTAGCAACGTATTCCTAAGCTTACATGACTTTGAGCAATGAATAAACATCACCTCTCAGGCCGTAGCGGCGCATCGCAAATATGACTATATATTATATAACTATAAATGTGCATGTGTTCAATTACCATCACATGCTCAACACTGCTCAACCATAAACACCACGCAAAATCGTTTTTTCCCGAGTGCGTAGTGAAGGGTTAAATTTTTGTTTTCTTGGTAAGGGGTCTGGGGGTGGAGCCTTGTTTGCGGCTTGTTGCGTTTCGCAACTCTCCAATCGCGTCTCGCTGAGCCGAGCGAAAAAAGTGACGTTTTGAAGATGCGAAATGTCATTTCGTGTGGCAAGCGTGGGGCTTCGCGGCACTCAGGCCGGAAGTCTTGCGCGACTCTGTAATCAACCCTCGCTGCGCCTAAAGGAATTGCTACAAAATGCGTCGTTTTAAAACGTGAACTTGCTTTTCATGCGGCAGGCATGGGACTTCGGTGTTGTTTCAAACAGCGACTGTGCCCCATATATGCCCCAATGTTTTTTTGTCGCAAAACCCCAAGATAAAGTCGTGGCATGCCGTGGCTGGCTTGATCTGACATTTGTTCTCTGATCGCTGCTGTATCACATCCTGCTCTTCTCAGCTTGCATCTGTCAGGTACTTCTTCGAGCTCGACGCTTCTGCTGCCCGATGCCTGCTGCAGCTGCGCTGGGGCGAGCATGCTGCCCCGCTGCGGCTTGCGCTGCCGACTGACGCGCTTGATGCGCTGTGACTGTGAAACATTGCTGTGACAAAAGGAATGCAGCTGTACGACGGCTTATTTGGGAGGTAGTTCGTTTTAGTCTGACTGCGTGGGGCAGTTCGAGCGTGAATGTGTTGGCGCAGCCTGTGGAGTGTGGAGTGTGGTGAGTGTGGAGTGTGGAGTGAGGAGTGTGGAGTGTGTAAAGTGTAGAGCGTGGTGGAGTGTGGAGTGTGGAGTGTGGGGAGTGTGCTTTGACACATTTATAGGGTTCGATTTTTGTTCTATTTTAATCCCGTCTGTTTCTGCACGTCATCAAACAATTCATTCGGGTTCGTGGGATGTCAGATTTTTAGCTGGTTCGAATGCGTGCAGTGCACAAGCCCAGTTCGCATTCAAAAATCAATCGTCCAGCATTGCCAGATTTGCCAAGTCCATCACTTCTCCAGCTCATCTCCGCAACATTTTCGCCAAATTTTCTCGCCTCATCTTCTGTTGCGCCTGGACATTTCGAATCTTTTGCTCTGCCACCTGCAGGTTCGTGACAGGCCGGTGGAATTGGGGGAGAACTCTGCTGCCCTTCTGTTCACCCCAAAATAGCAGGCAAATGTGTCTTCATCCCACTCATATTTGGTGTATTAGTATTAGTGCTTCATAACTGTTGAAAGGTTGTGAGCCGGTTGTGTGGCAAAATTTTCAAACTTTCCAGGCTGGGATGGCTGCCTGCGTCTCCTTGATGGCTGACTCGAAATCCCCAGGGAGACTCACTGCCTGGAGCGGTCGGCGGGCGTACATGCGCTTAGTTGCAGAAATTCTGACGAAAAATGACGCCGACATGATATGTAGCCAATCTTAAATCTTTATCATGAGCTCATGATAATTTACAAACTATATATTTACATATATTTACAAGATATTGGGACTTCACAAGCCCAGTCACGGCGCGCTGCCCCATCACTACCAGACCCGCACAGGCCAGCCTGGAATTGAAAAAGTGGCACATCCACATAGGCTTGTTCCCGAAAGTGCTTCCTCAGGGACTGCTCCTGAGCGAATGTGGGCAGCTCTGGTTTTTGAGGAGGGCACTAAGCCAATTGGAAGGTTCGACCCAATGAGAACGCCAACCAGCAAAAAACGCAATCACTTAATGGTTGTGGCCATTTTTTTGCGAAAGAAGCCAAAATCAAATTCGCCAATTTGACATTTGGTACCGTCATGATGGTAATAGCTCTGCCCCCGATTCCTCTAGGTGTAGTCTCTACTGGGAACCTGCTCTGAAAGAATTTCGCACGGACACCCAGGATGCAAAGTAAGGCAAAGCTAAAACTCGAGCGGTTGTGCAGTTGTGCAATTGCAAAGAACCCCTGCCCAGACGGGGGTGTTGTTTTGATCTATGCGCCTTGCGTCTTGTGTTGTCTTGATCTGTGGTTATCCCCTGACCTGTATGAATCCATGGGGGTAATCTTTCCCAAGTAGATCTCCGGTGATCGTGAAACATGACAAGCTGCGGCTGGGGTTGTTCAGACCCTAACATCCGAAACTTGGACGGCAACTGAAAGCATGACCAAAATCTACAGGTGTCAGTGTGCCTGACATGTACCTTCATGCCGGCAAGACATTCCCACAAGTTGATGTTGTGTTGTTGTTGTTGTGGTGGTGGTGGTGGTCGTCGTCTTTGTCGTCGTCGGTGTGGGTGTTGTTGTTGTTGTTGCTGCTGCTGCTGCCGTTGGTTGTTGTTATAAAGGTTTTGCTGATTATTTTCGATATCGGGGCCAGCAGGGTCACCATTGAAACTCTCTTGGCCGAGCGTCCATCCTGTCACCAATCATCGTGCCTGAGCAAGGGAGCAAGGGAGCAAGGGAAGTAAACTGGTTGCGGGTCAAGTTCAGCACACCGCTGGCAAAAACAAATCTTGATTGGGGACGAACCATCGCCTAAATATTTTTAGGTTCGAACATGTTTGAAAAGCCTTCAAAGCAATCGCATCCCACTCACCTAGTGGGAGATCGGCGATCACGCAAGTTTTTACTGGCCATGTCTGGTCCTGGTGATACCACTGCAATTGGTACCCTTCCTTCCAACCTCCTGTACTTCAATTTCATCTTTGTTAATCTGGGACTGAGATGATGTTGGACGATAATTAGCATGACATCATGACACCAAACAATTTAGGTAAACTCTATTATTCATTTTTTTTGGGGACCAGGTCTGGGGAACCCAGGATGATCAACTTAAGAAACGATTTCAGTTGATGCCAACCTGCTTTCAATGTATTTTCCTTTTAAGCCTTGAAACAATCCAAGGATTAGAAAGGGTTTCAATTCTTTTGAATCGACTGCCAATGGATTTTCCTGAAAACCTCAAATGAAACCTAAGGATAAGTAAGGGCTCCAGTTAATTTCCATCTACGTTCAACTGATTTTCCTTTTTGAACCCAAAAGTAAGTAAGGAGTCAAAATCATGTCAAACTGCTTTCGGTTCATGGTGCTTTTTAACCCAAAAGAAATCCAAGGACATGAAAGGTTTCCAATTCACGTCAATCTAGTTGCAATTAGGTTTCTTTTTTTAAACCCAAAGGATGTCAATTCGTTAGGATGTCAATTCGTCTCAATTTACTTTCAGTTTCTTTTCCTTTTGAAGAAGAAAGAAATCTAAGGACAAGTAAGGACTTCACAAGTAACAGCTTTGCCCAAAGAAAGGTCGATAAACAGGTTTTGTGTTTTTTTTCACCCCACAAAATACTGAGCAAAAAAGAGTACCATCCAAACAGTTATATTTTTGAGGATCTGAGTCACTCATGGGGTATCCCCTTGAAAATTGTTTGGGTGCTGTGTTAAAAAAGGTTTTAATAAGGAGTTTATGCATTTGCGGAAATTGACATTTTGAAGATTTAAGATGATTGGGGTGAGCAAGGTGCAGCAGCTACAAAAAGAGGAAGGGTGGACAAGGTTTGAAATTAAGGGGAAAAACAAGAAGGGACGGGACCTACAAAGAACGATATTTTTGCTTGGACCTACTTTTTTCCACCTGAAAAAATTGGGTCTGAAAAAAAACAAAATAGATGCCCCCCCTCAATTTCAGGATTCAATTATTTTTGAAAAGTTTGTCACAATAGGCTACCAGGACACTAACCGGCATACAACATTACTGCGAGAGAAAAACACCTACGTGTATGACAGAAATTATCGCATGTTTTAACAGGATATGAGAGACTCCCGGCTCAAAAATGTTTATGCCTATGATTGTTACAACATGGCTGCTGGTTTGAAACTATTCATCACATTGGTGAACGATTGGAAAAAATCTTGCTGGTTCCAACAAAACTACTTCCCTATTTTTGATGCTTGCGCTCCCATGCGTGACATGATGTGTGATGCTTATAGCTACATTTCTGATAGTTTGGCGCCCAGGGCTGTGAGGCCGGGCGGTTCACAAAGAAGGCGCGGGCGTAGTGGTGCGTGGCCGCCACCGTGAGAAGGTCCATGCCCATCCTGTTCGCCGAAGTTCACCGGAAAAAAACTGGGAGCTCATCCTCATGAGCATTAAACATGTACTTGGTTCTAAAAAAGCAGCCTTGAAATTGGTGAAGCGTATGAAAACATAGCAGGAACTGACAAGCACATACAAATACCACAAATAACTAACAGGCATCTGGATTTAAGTGATCAAAAAGAGAGGTGCACCCAGCAGGCAAAGCTAAACACTAATCTGTTATGTATATATATATGTATTTACCGATGGTTCTTGAATCACATGACATGTTGCTCACAAAATGTTGCATGTAGTCTTCAAACGATCATCCCTTTCATCGTGGGTTTTCTGAAAGACTCTAGAAGCTTGCTTCTGAGCCATGAAATTGTTGGCCACTAATAGCCTATCATCCCTTCTGCTTGAATCACCTTATGCCTCCTTCAGCCGAGTGGCTTGACAAACAGGTTGTGATATTCTGGGCCTAGGTGTTTTGTGGCATCTGTGGCATGAGGCTCAAATTCCAAAAGAAAAATGTGGATCGCGCCGCCCATGCCCTTCTAATCTTCCCTTCCAGTCACACGACTCATGAGCCGGTGGGCATTGCAGCCTACCCCCCAGTAATCAAACATTGCCATGGAAAGTTCCCCCGCAAATTGAAATTTAATGGCAAAACCATCTATGCTGGAAGTGCTGGAATGGGAGCCTCCTGCAAATTAATCATTCCATTCCATCCATGTTTTGATTTGTTTCTGACAATGCATGTTTTTCAACGGGCTGCTTCATAGGTACCTTCCATCCCGTGTCTTTGCTGCGCATCCCTCTATGGGGGTTCTACCAATTGAGCTCTTGGCCGAAGGTCGTGTACATCTGGTACCTGAAACAGTTAAATGACTGAAAGATCTCGACGCTCTGGTTGCGCATGGTCAGTTTGCCTTCTTGTACCCCAAACAATTTGGGACCCCCAATTTTTTTAAATAAACTATAACTTAACTGACCGACCAGCGAGATTGGCATGAATCTTGCAAAAACTAACCAACCACCGGAACCAAATTATGTGACTTGAAGAAAATCTCCACAGATCAAGGTGCAGCTCAGTGGCAGGGAATCCTTGGCCAGCTGATATTGAAAGGATATCCTGAGTTGCACTGGCTCCTAGCCACATGGCCCATGAAGCCGACTCATGGAAACTGGGAAAACACTCTATAGTGAAAAATTACTATACTAGTTACTAGAGTATGTAATCACGTTAGCAACTGGAATGCCAATTCCTAGTAACCTACCAAGCAGCCCTAGTGAAGCTGCCTGACTGCCATTCAGCATGAAGAAAGGGGCTTCAATGGCATTGGTATTGGTTTTCACCACCGCCCAGTTGACTGGGTATGAGTCAAAATTTGAGGCACGGGATGCCCAGCACACTCCTGTTTTAGGCACATGTAGTGAGGCAACCCATTTTCTTGCTCCCAACCTTGATACGCACGACTTGTTGCACATGAAGATGCCATTCTGTCAACATACTTGCGAAATATACGATCTATGCAAAAGGGTTGCTCCTTGCAAACCCATTCTGCAGATTCATTGGTTACACATTTCGCCAACATAGTCCCACCCGTGTTGAATCCATGTCTGTTTCTTTGTGTTGTTGTTTTCCCATTACATGCCTCCTGACCTTTGTGAAACATCCTGATAGTCTGGCCGCCTTAAATCCCAACTTTGCAACATATGCACCAACAAGATGCCTAAACGCAAATACAGCTGTATGCACGGATTGGCTGTGGGAGTCACGATCCCAGCTGAACAATGTTCGGGTCATGTTTGCTTGGTTCATATCCACATCACTTTCCCCAAGCGATGTCGACCAACAGGATGCCCATGTAACAATTTTGCACTGGCTATTCACTTGGGTTTGTCTCATGATAGAGTGCATGGGGTGCCTCCAAACCCGCTGTTTATTAGACTTGCCATTGTGATGGATATACTATAGACCCCCAAAAGAACATCTTGAAAACAGAATTACTCAACAGTTCTGATGGTGAAGCTATCGAACCCTTATTTCCAGGGTCCCAGGTTGTCGGTTTCTGAATTATATCCTCATTTTTGCAGCATATACCTTCTGAAGTTTGCTATATACTATGTACATATCTGAAAAAGTATCCTCAAACAATGCTGCCAAGATCTGCCAAGTTTGCAGGCTATCTCCCTGAATTCCCCAGGTTTTGTGGTTTCAATGTTTGCAAAGCATCCTGGCTTGCAACGACGCCAAGCTGCTCCAGCGACACCTCGAGGCCGTCGTAGGTCCTGCTGCGCAGCGGTCCACCGCTAGTGCCGGCGCCGGCTTCGTGTGAGAACTGCACCGTGATCACTGTCGAGGGGAACCTGGGATTGAACCACCCAAAACGGACATGTTAAGCAGTCCAAACCAAAGGTGTTCCATTGGCAAAGGGAATGTGTTCCATTGGCAAAGGGAATGTGCTCGTGTATTTCACAAAGGTGATCTGACTGGCTACTTGACGATATTGCAAGCATTGCCGATTGATTGATTGATTGATTGATTGATTGATTGATTGGTTGATTGTTTGATTGATTGACTGACTGGTTGATTGATTGGGTGATTGGTTGGTTGGTTGGTTGGTTGGTTGGTTGGTTGGTTGGTTGGAACTATTTACTAACATTAGGCATCTGGGCAAAATTCAGGGAGATGGAGCTAACCCAAAAAAGATCTATTTCAATGGTTTCGTTTTCTGCTTTGTGTAAATATACGGAGATTTGGAACTGATTTATATTAAACAATGCCGAACACACGGAAGGTTTACCTTGAAAATATTTTGGCCTAAACGAAGTGATGGGATGTTGATGGTCTTCTAATTAGTTGACATGACCACCACGCGAACCGCAAATGGTTTGCACCGCGCACTTGGTTCTACACCTGTTTGAAATGTGATAGCTCGAATTAGGTAACCTGCTAACTCTTAACAAGGGCTTTCAACCACTTGCCAAGTGAGATGGTCCAAATATTTGCGATATCCAATTTCACTGGGGGGTTGTTTTGCCATGAGTAGGTTTAAAAAAAGAACAGCTAAGCAGGATCTAAGTTATTTAAAATGATTTGTCAAGAGTTGGGCATGTGACATGTGGATGACCCAACTGACGTGACGGGGAAAGGGTGAATAGATCGGCTATTAGGCTATTAGTTTCAAAATCCTACTGTGACATGATGGGGCGCTCCACACCGGCCAACATTTCAAAGGACAATTTTGGGATGAGCTGACGGATGTTGAAATCACCACTCACGAACAAATAGAAAAATCAGCGGAGCCCCAATACATCCTTCAGGAACTATTGTTTGCAGCTACGTTTGCATGCCTTTCAAACGTCCTTAACTTGAATTCGGTCCTATTAGTTTTAACAACTGCAAGATGCGCCTGATACAACGGAAGTGATGGGGTCGCGTGGGGTACAAGCTGGTTCAAGGTTTCAGCAGTTTTGAACATGCTAAATGGGATAGTCAGCCCGCCAGCTTTTGAAATCATTCTAGCTGCTGGGATTTAACTCAAAGCCATGAGCCCCCTCCCCAAACTTTGCGTTTGCTGGCAGAAGCCTTATTTTTCATGGTTACATTGGCGTAAATCATGTGTTTTCAGAAACTTGGCAGAGCCTCTAAAAACATTTTTCGGCATTAAACCCCGTAGGTATTGTGAGGGGTCCCCTCCCTCCCCGAGCGCACTTCACGAAGCGGTGCCCCAGCCCGAGCCAATGTCTGCCAGTGCTCCACCTGAAGTTGGTGGTCGCCATATCCATGCATGTTACCATCAGCACCCAGTATTCCAAAATATTCCAAGTACATAGCTATTCCGCATCAACTCTTGGTAGGTCAAGCACCAGAAGCACCCAAAACAAACAATGCTTACTCCAAGAACAAGATGGTCCCACTTGCAATTGTTTAATACCTCTTATCAAAGTCTCTCCCTGAATGCTTCCTGCAAGGAAAACAACGAGTTTCCAATGAACTGCTGTGAGCTGAGGCCTTCCCAGAAAAAATGTCCTACGCACGCATCGCAGGTGGAAGCCGGTACCAGCCAAGTAACGCATCCGGAGAAATAGATTGCAGGATGGTGTTGTAATCCAAACCAATCCTGTGGGGCGGGCTCTCGGTGAAACGCAGGTGCCAAACCGTTAAAAATGGAGGAGCCAAAAAAGTCGCCCAAAATGTAGTGGGTACCTTCTTGGTCCTTGGTCATTCCAACCATGCTGACGAAATGTAGAAAACTCACAAATACTTGGTGGAATGATCATCCGTTTCAAATGGTGTTCCTACAATCGTTTGTTGGGTGCGAGCATTTTGTTGGTTCCATAGCTGTGTGTCAACACTTTTCCACAATTCGAGATTCCCTGGGTTGAGTCCCTTGCTCTTGGACTTTCACCACCAGAAGTGGACAAGCATATTCACTCAGCAAGTTGCGAGCCCATTAAGGAACCTGGCAACTGGTATCCAACAATGAATCCAATCATGAACCTGCATGAAGTCCCCAAAATTGAAGCTTTGTAGTTGACTCATTTCCAAGGCGTCCACGAACTGAAGAAACACAAGCTGCCATCAGGGCCGTGCCGCTGGCCCAGTTAAAAATCTGTGTCGAGAAACTCCCACGGTTCCAAAGTGTCCCAGGCTGAATAGATCAGAACGACGCAGACCAGCAGGCTGACGCCCAAACACCTGAAAGAACCAGCATCCAAGTGTGCTATGGACAAGACATGGTATCTGGGCGGGATGACCATGAAATCTTTGGCCATTAGTGGTGCATCCCCCAACAGTTGTGATTATCTGACTTTGAAGGCGAGTTAAATTTAAGGGGGAGCTTTTTGAGCTTTATTAGCGCAGAATGCGGGCCCTGGCCTGGGTACAACATGCACGTCCCAAGTCTTAAAATGTGGCCACAAAGTGAAACCCAGGTTTGGGTGCATTAGCAAATGGCTGCTACACAATGATGTCTGCAATATCAAATGTTTTCGTGCAGCGAC